ATTGATGCAGACACTGATACACATATGTAAGTAAGTAAGCATTTTTTCCCCTTTCGTCTCGTTTTTTACATCGACAGATACCGAGAGAATGCCAAGCAAGCGTCGGGCAAGTTACGGGACTCACAGAGCGAGCAAGGCGTGACGGAGGGCTTGCCCTTAGCACGGACCGCCCGCTGGATCGAGTACGCCATGGAACACGGTACGGCGCATCTACAGACGAAACAGGACAGCCTCGCCTGGTACCAGCACATCCTACTCGATGTCGCGTGTATTTACGTAGCGGCGATCGGAGCTGTTCTATGGGCCTTGAATAAATTATGCTGTTGTTGTTGTCTTAGACAAAAGCAGGGATAAGAGCCTAATCATAGTTACTTAGGCTCAATCACAAATTCTAATGAAAAGAATCTGAAAAAAATTCTAATCGTGTTCTTTAATTATTGCAATTTATAAATCATACTAGTTAACGCCTAAATCAAATTGTAGTATGAGGTTTAGACATTCACGTGTGCAGAGCCACGATACGAACGTCTCATATATCGAAGCGTGAAATTGTATGCTACCCAGCGCTGGCCAATCGTAGTCGACTTTAGAAACTTTGACGTCATTTCGTTCAGAAAATGCGGACTAAACTGTTGATTGGTCCATTTGGATGCATTTGTTTTGGTCATATAATACAATTTTCGTTGCCCCCCCCCCCCCCCCGGTGCCTCCCCCAACCCCACACACACAAAATCCGGAAATTCCCTTGTCAAGGAAGTGGTGTTTTAAATTTTTTTTTTTTTTGAGAAATCGATCTGGATGATTATTTGTGACCTAACTTAACCTTTTACGACTTTTTGAAATGTGAATAAATTGATAAGAAAAAAGAGCGGCCACTAGCGTCAAAATAGGTCGAGCCCCCGTAGGTTAATAATGCCAGGTATGTTGCTTTCTGTCGATTTGGAAAAGGCTTTCGATTCCGTTTCACCTGATGTTATTTATAGGGTTTTAGAGAATTTTAACTTTGGACCATCAAATCACAAGATGGATTCAAAATAGTCATGCATGGTTAATGGATTTCTTTCAGAATCCTTTGTTATTGAGCAAGGGTGTGGGCTAGGTGATGGCAAAAGTCTGTATTTGTTGCTTTTATGTGCTGAGGCTTTGTCTGTGATGTTTGTAAATCACAAGAATGTTCAGGGTATTCACGTAGGCGATATGGAACTCCGAATGTCACAATTTGCTGATGACAGAGTGCTGAGAGGCCCACGTACAATGCAATTTGCCATTCTTAACCGATTTGCCAGCATGTCAGGGCTATGCGAGATAATGTTGACTATTGCACAGTGGTCTTGTATGGTTTTGGGAAGAGTGACTGTAGTGAAATCACTCCTAATGTCAAAGCTTACCTATTTTATTCTAACTATCCTCCGTGCAATATTGTTAATGATGTTAATGTTATGATATTTAATATTATCTGGAAAGGTAATGATCGAGTTATCCGAAACCAGATGATTCGTAATTATACTTCGGGGGGGGGGGAGGTCTCGGAGGGCTCCCCCCCCCCGAGTTTGTCATTTGGGGGGGGGGGATAAATTGTTATTTTAAGTACCACGATTTGACCTAGGTGATATGTATGTGGCCTATTTTCGAGTAGTATAATAGGGGTGTAGTAGCGCCACCAACGTCAAAAGGCCCCCCCCGGGAAAAAAAATCTGCGGCCAAACATTTTTGGCCAAAAAATGTAAACTTGTAAACTTTTAGAAAATTTAGAACAAAATTATTGTGAGCCCCACCCAAAGCCAAACACTGGGTGCGCGCGCCACTATATAACTTCGGTGGTTTACGACGTTAGGGCCTATGTGGACTTAAAATGACCTGGCTGCGTCGATTTATTGTTCAGAAGGTTCTGGTTGGGCACACCTGTGTCATAGAATACTTGGCATTGATCGTTTAGTTCAAATGGAAAGGAGGCTCAATTGGTTTACTCTTTGCTCGTAATATTTGGTTTTATTGTAATCAATTTTGGGTTATATATATATATATATACATGTATACTCGCTACTCATAACGGTGACTTTAACAAAAAACCTACTCTTTAATTTGGTGCAATGACCTGATTAAGTTCGGTAATAAGTGTGGACCATTTTCACTGAATATGGTGCTGTAGTCTTAGCAATTAAGGTCGCTTTTATTATATATATATATATATATATATTTTGGTGAATAACAACAACGCTCATTTCCCATTTGTTCCCTTCAATTTGTATGTCATTTTAAGCGATGAAAAGGGTTCTCGCAAATTTTACGATATTTTTTATCTAGACTATACAAGTTGTTAGAAAGTGCGTGGACAAACTGAAAAGGGAAACTACAAACCAATTTCGATTTTGGTAAATTGGTCTCGGGTCTTTAATGTACCCTTTGCTTGTACGGTTGATTTCAAGCCTAAAATGTTTCAGTATCGTTTAATCCACAGAATATTGGGGCACTTAATTCGTTTTTATTTAAAGTTAACAAGTTGAGTTCCAATGTTTGTACTTTCTCTAAGGACGAAGAAGAAACCCTTATTCACCTATTTTGTAATTGCCATTGTGTTATTTCTTTCTGGAATTCAGTTATAGATTTTGATCAAGGACAAGATTTTTTATATTGGTCTCGCAGTAGACAATGAGCTACTTTTGTTTGATGTTACCGATCACTAGATGTAGATGTTTTAATCTTATTTTTTTTAATTTCTCAATTTCACAATTTATAAAATGAAAATGAGCGAAAAACGTCCTTCTATAGCTACCCCCCCCCCCCCCCACTGACCAATGCTTATTATTTACATGAAGGCAAATATATTTTGTTCAATTCAAGAAACGGGGAGGGGCGCACCTGGAGGGGGGGGGGGGAGGGGGCATGGACGTCGGGGGGGGGGGTGCCCCCCGTATATACGCCCCTACATTTTACATCAAGTATTTGCGGAGTTATTTGCGATATGAAGGCCCTAGGCAGGGGCGGATCTAGGAATTTTTGCAGGGGAGGTTTTTCATCACCAAATCAGTGCTAAAATGTAGACAGTTTTTTTTGTCCGGGCACTTGGCCTCGTAAAATCAATAGGGGGGGGGGGGCGTTAATACCCTACTTTTAATGGGGCGCTGTTCAAATCCGACGATTATTAACCCTATATAACCCCCTTACCAAGCTGGCTCTGTCCGTATTTTTTTCACAGGCTGACATTATTACCAGTATGATTGGGGGTTGGGGGTTGGGGGGGGGGGGGGGGGGGGTCGCATTATTTTTGATAAATTTCTCTGACAAAATGTTTTTTTTGTCCGGGCACTTGGCCTCGTAAAATCAATAGGGGGGGGGGGGGGGGGGGCTTATACCCTACTTTCAATGGGGCGCTGTTCAAATCCGACGATTAGTAACCCCATTTACCCCCCCCCCCCCAACCAAGCCGGTTCAGTCCGTATTTTTTCACAGGCGGACATTATTACCAGTATAATTGTGTGTGTTTTTTTTGGGAGGGGCGGGGGAGCGGGGGGGGGGGTTCGCATTATTTTTGATGAATTCCTCTGATAAAAAGAAATTTGGACAGAGCTTCTTTTTTGGGGGCTAGGCTTCGTCACGTACGTCTCGCGTGAATGTTCAGATTCAGATATGCCAGGAACAGGGGATCTCAAACTATCCACAGCACAAGGACTCGAGATTTCTGCAACAATAATAATGAAATACATATATGTGACCCGCTCTGCAGAAATGAGTCCGATGTCGCATAATTTGAATTTAAGCTTTTGCCATTTTTAAATGGAAACAGTGATAATTTGATCAACATTTGGATTTTTTGTTTTTGTTTTATTTTGGTTGTTTGATATAGTTTTAGTTCAAATACACAGAACTTTAAATATTGTAAGAAAAAGTCTAACAAAATTAGGACTTTTTTGTGCTTTTCTTGGTTAGTTACAGTGAATTTGTCATTTTCAAACCCTTCTTTTCTCCGCTGAGACGTTTCTAGCTTTGCAAAAACGTGACAGAATTAAACAAGCACAACAATGCAACCAAAATGTCCTAGAGAGGTCCATGATATACTCCAAATGAAAGCTTATTTAATTCCCATTTTAATAATGTAGTTAACTCAAAATTTCAGCTTTGCCACAACAGACTTTTTTTTGCAGAGCGGGCCACATATATATATAGCGCCAAATCCATTAAAACAAAATGCTCCCAGGCGCTTTACACAAAAAAAATAGATATGATACAATGACTAAAAGTACAGAAATAGCAGAAACTATGTCAGATGAAATACATGGGAGCCAGAGAAAAATATAACCAGGCAAAATAAAGTAAGCAGGCCACCTAGAAGCAATAAAATAAGGAGTGTAGTGAAAACAGAGCATACATGAAAAATAAATGCATTGTAAAATAAATAAATAAAATAAACTGGGCCAGCCAGAGACAGTAAAAAAAAACAAGCAAGGAAACCTGAGTGGACGCCCCTCGCCCCCCCCCCCCCTCCTCAAAAACAAAATAGATCTCCTGTAAAATGATATGCAATACGTTCCACCGTGACATTATTATTTCTGCTGGTGGGAATTCGATATGTTTTGGTTGTCCATACAATTGGGGAATTGAAGAGATATGGCAATGAACCTTTGGCCCGGACTTGGGGCTTTTAATTCTGAGCATTTTGGATGCAATTGGGCTCAAAATTGGCATGATTTTGTTGTGGAGGGATCGTTTTTCAAAATGGCTACTTTTCCGCTTTGGGAAAGGGTCATCTTCTTTGAGTGAGAATTCCTCAAAAAGTCAATGGTCAACCCACCAAAAAATAAAAAGAAAATGAAGATGACATGTTGATCATCATTTTTCTGTGCAGCTTAAATACCTTTGAGAGTTCTGAGTATTTTTAAAAGAATTTTGAAATATGGGCATTTGGCACTAGTGTCTATGGGGATTTTATTGCAGGTTTTTTGGCTTGGAACTTCATTGGTTTTATTTATGGCCGTCTTATCAAGCCCACTTGAGGGCGCCCTCCAAGATTAGAATTTAGAAGCCGCCATTGGGGATACACACGCTCAAATTTGCATTGTCACACGCTGGAGTCGTGTTCTTTGCAGCCGTACCTATAGTGAATTGTCCACTAAATCAACCGAAAATGTCGCGCTACGATAGAGCTATCACTGTTTTCTCACCAGATGGCCATCTGTTTCAAGTAGAATATGCGCAAGAGGCTGTTAAAAAGGGCTCTACGGCTGTAAGAAACGTTACCAACTCGGCACTTGCTGCAAATGCGATGCAGTGACAGTCACTCACTCACTTGCGCAGCATGGAGCTATTGCACTCATTTGCAGCAAGTGCCAAGTTGGTGACAGTGTGTGTGCAGTGATAATTGACATATAATTTCAATGAGACCATGATGAGACTCACTTGAGAGTATTCAAATGCATGTTGATTTTGCATAGCCCCATAAATGAGGCCTATTACCATGTTTACTGGACTAGGCCTACCTCCGTAAATTAACTATTAAGGCCACACTTGGACAAAAAAATGTTGGAAGACATTTAGACTGTCGCGTGTATTGTTGATGTACCCTTATGGCCCCCAACGTGGTGCACTTTGATTTTTCGCCTAGGCTATAGCCAGAGTTGTAACGAGTCACTGATTTTTGTGAATCGAGTCGAGTCAAGTCATTTTTATTAAAGAAGTGACTCGAGTCGAGTTGAGTCATTTTAAAGAAGTGACTCGAGTCGAGTCATTAGGTCAAAAGGTCGAGTCGAGTCGAGTCAAATATTTAGCTCAAGTCAATTCGAGTCACGAATATTTGAACACTTTACCTAAAAAAAGGGTTCGAATCCAAGAGCTAAATCGCCCTAAACCAATGATGAAACAGCAAATTAGAAAATGTGTTTAAAAATCTGGTTCTGGATAGTATTTTGTGCGTTGTAGAACCATGAGGTGGGAGTCTGTGACACGTAATTTGTACAAGACTGCTATTCGCAAAGTGAAGTGAGCATAAATTTTGCACCGTAAGTCATTGCAAATACTTTTCGCAAAGTTTTGCTTTTATTTTTGGGACTCGAGTCTTATTAGCCTTCTCTCGAGTCGAGTTGAGTCTTCTGATGAGGGACTCGAGTCTAGTCATTTGCTCGCAGTGACTCGAGTCGAGTCATTTACCCTTAGGGACTCGACTCGAGTCACCAAAAATTGTGTCACTGACTCGAGTCATTACAACTCTGCCTGTAGCGCCTACCTAGAGCAAAAATTTTAACTGAAATTTCACAGAAAGTGCAATTTCATTGAGTTCTAAACACTCCTGTTCATAAATCTCGAGTATATTTACCCGTAACAAAGTTAGAAGATAAAACTATTTTGGCGTGATTCTCCGATTTTATATTCAAGTGCAAAGTGAACCCTTCGAAAATGCCCCGAAAAATAAGAAAATAATTTTCTGACAAACATCTGGCTGGGTACGTAAGTAGAGATAATAATTATTTATCAGAATTTATCAAGTTTACAGAAATTCTTAAATGTTAATTTGGAATTTTTTGAGATTTATTCAAGTGCGCCACGTTAGGGAACACCCCGCCAATTTGTGCCCAATTTCCAGACGCCACCGTTTTTGAATTTCGAATAAAATTTTATGAAACCGAAATTGTTCACAGAGGTTAAATAGCAAGCATTAATAAGGTAAAAGTACTAGGTTTTTACTGCATGAATTTGAAGTTTGTCAACAAAGAGGTTTGGCAACACTACACAAGGAAAGTCGGGTAAGCTTCAAAGTGCGCCACGTTAGGGAACACGACTATATGCAGTTCATGTATATAAATTTGATACCAAGTGCTAACGTTTTTAGGAAGTCTTCCAAGTGTGGCCTTAATTTACAGAGGTAGTCCAGTAAATAGGCCACATTTATGGGGCTAGATTTTGCACAACTCGGTGACAGTGGTACTGGTCGGAAGTGGGGCTTTGGAATGGCCGTTTAATTTGTATTTTTTAGGCATGTACATTTTTTTGTACAGTTTTATTAGACACACTAACTGGGGCGTTAGAACTCCTTTTTTGACATTTGGGATTTTGGTTTGTCGTACTAGCACCCCACTACAAGCGCAATCTCAATTTTAGAATTTTCACCAGAGTTCACCACAAAAGTTGCCAAAAATCACGCAAAATACTTGACAAAAATACCTTTGAAAGCACCTACCACTGGCTTCTCCACATGGCAAAGACGAAGTAATGGGGCTTCAATGATACTCGCGATTATTTTTTGGGTTGCAAAGTCGTGAAATTCAACAACTATAGCACAGACATCGTACATCTATTCATTCAATAATGTGAGTGGCTGTGATCTACATTTTTGTACCAACACATTTTCTATGGATGTACATGTACATACAAACCGTGACCTGCGTCGATAAACAAACTCCGCGTGCAGATCGGGGGATGCACCAACACATGAAGGCAATCTTGCAATCAGCAAAGAATGTAAGTGGAATGAACAACAGAAGGTTTCATAAGTTTTTGTTTAACTCTCAGTAACTGTTGGTGTCATCTGTAGGTTGGGGTTCGTGGCAAAGACATAGTGGTCCTTGGCGTGGAGAAGAAATCAGTGGCCAAACTGCAGGAGGAGAGGACAGTCAGGAAGATATGTGTCCTTGATGATCATGTGTGCATGGCTTTTGCAGGTAGGACCATCTACTGAGCATAAGGCCATTCACCATTGAATTAAAAAAAAAATAAAAGTTAAAAAAAAAATTGACTTCAAGTTTACAGTCCATCATTTGCAGCCAGCCAAAAAAGTAACTGACGAAATTATTGTTGAAAAGCATACTTGGTTGTAAGATAGGGAAAGATTTCCATATATACGAAGTTCACTCAACACTCTGTGTACAAACCCTATGAGATTGGACTGAAAAATTCAAAGTGCTTTCTAAGAAAATGCTTGTATTTTCTCACTGCTCAAATTGACTTTGATGACATGAAATTGCTATCTGGGGGCTTGTTAGTCAATACAGAGGAAAATTAGTGAACTTCGTATATGGAAATCTTTCCGAAAGATAGTAGTGATGACTAAACTCCCTGTGAAATTATTCTTTCTGGCAAGCTGTCATTTTGAAGAAAACAATGAAAGAAGGCCATTTCCATTAGTAGTTTGTTTTTAATTTGGCGAAGTGCGCTCAAGTGTTGACACGACGCACACGGGTGCGCGGTTGCTATTATTCGTCGGTCCAGTGCATGACATCGCGTAGCTGCAATCGGCTGAATGAGAACCTGTCCCAGTCACTGAATTAGGGCGCAATTCAAAACATGACTCGCCAACTTTTGATTTGAAATCGAGATCCTAGAATATTGTTTTTCTCGGAATAGACAGCATTCACTGAGCTAAAACTTCATCAGGCACCTTTCTTTAGATTTTGAGCACTGTTGTTGCTTCAAACGAACATAATGCACAAATTATCAATGATGTACTCTACCTTTAAAGTAAGACTTTAATTACGTGTAAGCTTCCTGAGCCAATGGTGTACCCTCGTGCTTGGGGTCAAAATCATTAAAAGTGCTTTTTCTGTCAGGCCTGCAATGAAGACCCTTGTTTTTGCCTTGATAATAAAATTCTTTTGAGTCTGAACATAACTTTTGATTGATCATCCTCAGGCTTGACCGCAGATGCCCGCATCATTATCAACAGAGCCCGCATTGAGTGCCAGAGCCATCGGTTGACTGTAGAAGACCCAGTGACTGTTGAATACATCACACGATTCATTGCGCAGCTCAAACAGGTGAGTAGCAATGTGTAGTCAATACCTGGGCTTTTGAATCTATATAATTTGCATCAGACTTCTCTTTTGAATCATGTGTTAATAGGCAAATTTGTTGAAAAGGGTAACACAAAGAGAAACAGTGTTTCTGAGGAATTGGTCTATCTACACAGAAATCATGCACAGTGTTGTAGTACTCGTATTCGTACTCGAGTACCACTCGAGTACTTTTTTGGAGTACTCGTACTCAAATGTCAAAGTACTTGTACTCGAAATGACGGTACTTGTATTTGGGCAGCAAAGTACTCACACTTGACATGTCAAAATTGTACTCGATCATCAAAGCACTCGTACTCGAATAGCAGTACTCGGGGGGGGGGGGGGGGGGGGGGAATGGTGTAGCTTGACTGTATACCACGGCCTTATTTTATCGATGCTTTCAGTTTGAATGGTAGATTGGCTTGTGGAGAAATCGAAGTTTCCTGATTTTGTTCTGTGCACGTCCGGACAAACACATTGAACAGCTAGCCGTGAGTGGGTCTGTATATCGGTCTGACTGGGCCTGGGCCACTTACGCACAATGAACCATTTGCTGTATGGCTGTATTCGGAAATACAAGTACCGGTTCTTGTACTCGTACTCGTACTCGGAAGTACAGTACTTGTACTCGTACTCGTAAGTACTCGTACTTGGAGACCTGTTCTTGTACTCGGAGGTACAAGTACTCGTACTCGGCAACCTAAGTACTCGGTAGTACTCGGTACTCTGAAAAAGTACTCGACTACAACACTGATCATGCATGCAACTTTTTCTCGGATCAGCTTATTTTCTCTGTTTTGACTTCTTAAGTGTGCCATTAAAGATAGAAACACACTGTACAAAATCCTGGAAAGATTTGAATTTCCATTTTGTTTGTGACTTCCCAGTTGCATGCCTGAGAAGTACGTTAACACAGAAAGCAAACGTATTGCATTAGTAAGCATTACCCATGGGCGAAAAACAGTGTAGTAATATATCTAATTGTTGGAACCACCAACATAGAGCTGAAAGCTCAGTTGGTAGAGCACCGGAAAGGCAAGCAGGAAGTCGCAGGTTCAAACCCTGCTCCAGTTAATCATCTTTGTTCAACTGAAATTATAATGCACCTAGTCAGTTTCCATGTATGGTTTATTTGACAAACAGTGTTAAGTTTTGAAATGTTCTTGTTTAGCACATTGTGAACCTGTTTCTCTTCTCGTTCCTGTTGCTGTAGCGTTACACACAGAGTAATGGGCGGCGGCCGTTTGGTCTCTCGGCACTCATCGTAGGATTTGATCTAGACAAGACACCGCGGCTGTACCAGACTGACCCTGCTGGGACTTACCATTCCTGGAAGGTACGTTGAACTTACTACTGAATTACATCAGTATAATTATATATTATTTAAATTTAAACCTAACCCTGCCAGACGCAGCACAGTGCATCGGGTGGAAAAGTCTGGTGCACTTTGATGCATCCAGCTACCAACACAAGTGCATGAACGGCCAGGTCTGAAACAATTCCCATTGAACAATGCCTGAGTTGTATCCTACTGCATGTGGTGACCACGGACTCTCAGGCGGTGTGGCCTCGAGACTTTTCCCCTGATGGATCTTGCTACACTTGGCAGGTTTGTCACTTAGTCACGTACTGCATGTTGCTGCGTTTGGCAGGGTTTCTAGCCAAAATACCCTGGAGGGTTAGGGTTGTAAGTTCCCATCGTGCTGCTGTGTGGTTACAAGCAAGCATGGAAGAAACCCTTGCTTTGGAAACAAGCCCTTTGTTCCTCAACACACTCAACTAAAAGAATTCAAACAGGTCTCATGGCGATTGCAGTTTGTAGTACACACATGTAATAAGGCCCTGCCCGCTTCCTTTTTGAAGGCCGCCTCCTTTTCTCTTTTTCTGCTTTTTAATTGTAAAAAAACCTGAAAAAAAATGATACATTTTAAACAGTGACATCATTTTGGCCTCTTTGTCCGTTGCATCTAGCCCATATCAAGCTGGTATGTCATTTCCTGAGTCCAAGTGGCAGCCATTAAAAAAAAAAGCTGGCGGCCATCTTGAAAATAGCCCGGCCGGTCATTTTTGAAAATGGGTCGGGCGGCCATTTTGGAAGAGAAAAATGGGCCTCCTTCCTTTTTTCAAAAAGGCATGGAGTTTAACATGTTTTTTTTTACTTGGCCTAACGTAAGGGCATCAAAAATAACAACTTGAAACTTTCTTAGAATTGAGAAGTTCAGGCAAGCTGCCTTAGATTTGATTGCTGGTTAAAATCAAATGTTCTTATGTCAGTTTAACATTCAGTATTTTATAACCTAAGGTTCATCTTTTGCAAATAATCTAGTCAAGTTTATGACAAGGACTCCTTGCAAATTGAGTCCAATTGTCTCGGGTTTGAATCCAGGATAAATCAACATTTTCTTTGCTGCTTTTTAAATCGAATATTTAACGACCTAAGCCACATCTCAACTAATGTTGTCTTTTCACAACTAGGCAAATGCCATCGGCAGGAGCGCAAAAACCGTCCGAGAGTTCCTTGAGAAGCACTGGACCGATGAACTGGCTGAGAAAGAGCACGACACGATCAAGCTGGCTGTCAGGGCGCTCTTGGAGGTGGTGCAGTCTGGCGCCAAGAATATCGAGCTGGCCGTCATGAGGAAAGGGGAGAGACTGACGGTGGGTACCAGACTATTGTAAAGCGCTTGAATATACCAAAGTCTTCAAGCGTATATTCCCTTTAACACTGGCTGCTTGTATCATGGATGTTTTGGCTATTAATTGTTTTAATTGTATGGTATTTTAAATTGAGTCATTTCTACTTTTATGCGAGTCCAACATCATAAATTCCTGTGATTGTTGTGTTAATCATTGGCCGAAAAAAATCAATCTTTATCCTAATCTTAACGCCGATTTATTTTTCGAATCTTCTTTTAGATCTATGAAACAGAAGAAGTTGAGAAGTACGTGGCCGAGATCGAGAAGGAGAAAGAAGAGGAAGCAGAGAAGAAGAAACAGAAGAAAACCACCGGCCAGTCGTCATAATCTTCATTTTGTTAGTGTTATAGTGTTTGTTCACTCCCTGCTGTTGTTTTTTTTATTTTATAGAAGCCGTAGGAAAAGTACATGTATGAACCTATTCGTGGGTTTAAAACATTAGTCCCTGTACCACTCCAAACTGTCCAATCATTGTGTTGTGTTTTGAATTCATTACAGAATAATGTAATACAATGTTGTACAGGTGTGAATGGGTTAAATTAATCCCAAGTCATGGATCAAACTTATCCCCATTCATAAGGCAGGGTTCGACTTTGGCGGTAGCCCGCTAGCCAAATGCTAGTCAAAACAGCGGCGGGCTAGTCAAACTATTCCTTAAGTAGCCCGGCTGGCGAGTCCAAAATTATTGGGCTTCGGCAAAGATGAAAGGACAGGAAGAAATAAATCATTAAGTTCAGAAAGCAAACCTGTACACGTATCAATTTGTGTATAATTTTATTAACTGTTGAGGGTTAAATTATTAGATCTGTTTATTAAAAACACTGACAAGATTGCCTCAGGATACACATTTTACATGTATGCACATTGTTGTTTGTGAGACACTCTATAAAAGAAAAACATGCGGGCTAGTGAAAATGCCCGCGGGCTAGTTAAGAGTCCGTTTCAGTAGTCCGGCTGGCTAATGAACAAAAAAGTTGAAGTCGAACCCTGCATAAGGAAGATGCATCCTCATTTATGAGCTGAATGCAAACCAGCATGGTCCATGTATGGGCTGAGTTTATACTATAGTGGTCTCTGAAGTGTATCCCCTGTCATGGGGTCTGTTGAACCCATATAATGGGGCAAGTATGACCATGGATATGGGTAACATGCAAACCCAGGCCATGAGGTAAATTTCAAGAAGTTTAACACGGCCGTGTTCATCCCAGTAACTGGGTCACTTTAACCCCAGCAGATTACAGGTCAACATTTCACAAAATTGCTTTGTGTTTGCATTGCACAGTTGGTACATGGTATTATCGTGCAACTTTTCTCCAGTTGTTTCTTAAAACTGTATTTTTCTCATGCAACTTCAAATTTATATGGACATTTACAATGATCTATGAAAGTTGAAATGAAGACAAAACTATTAACATTTGTTAGCATCTGCTTAAAGTTACTACATCATTTGGCATTTGTGTATTGTTTTTTTTTTTTTCGTTTGAAGCAACAAAAGTGCTCAAAATCTAAAGAAGGGTGCTAACAACTAACCCAATGAAATTTTAACTCGGTAAATGCTGTACTTTCCGAGAAGAACAATATTCTAGGATCTTGATTTCAGTTCACCAGTTGCAGAGGCATGTTTAGAATTGAGCCCGAAATCAGCGTCCGGGACACATTCTCATTCAGCTGATTGCAGCTACATGTACGCGATGTCGCATGTTGAACTGACAAATAATCGCAACCGCGCACTCGTGTGCGTCTGGTCAACGCTCGCGCGCACCAGTTCACGGCTTCGCCGATTTTAAAATGAACTACTAAGGCCAAAAAAAAAAATAAATCGGTCTCTGGTCAGTGCGCGCGTCGATTTTAAGCATGCGCGTCGATCTTTTTTTTCCCAAAATGTTCCGCGGTAGCTCCAACAGCGCCCTCTATTTCCGCACCTCAATTTTTTTTACCAAAGAGCACCAAGAAATGGGAAATTGCACCAAGGCAAATGATCAAAAGCACCAAGGCAAATTATGGAGGACACCAATGTACATGAGGACACCAAAAAAGCAAAATAGTACCCACCTTGTCTGTACACTCCAAGTTTGAAAAAAAAAAAAAAAAAGCCAAAAAAAAAAAAAAAAGCCGCGTGGCCGTGTCAATTCCGGAACTTTGGTCTGACCAGAGACCGAATATTTTTTTTTTTGGCCTAAGGGAAATTTACAAAAATGCGTCTTTAGACGCATATTTGGAATTGACCTCTTATTGTTTTCTTTAAAATGACAGCATGCCAGAAAGAATACTTTCACAGGGAGTTTAGTGCCATTACTATCTTTAAACCAAGTATGCTTTTCAACAATAAGTTTGTCAGTTACTTTTTGGATAGCTGCAAATGATCTACTCGACCTATAATGCTGCAAGTAAAAGTGTAGTTTTACAGGCAAAACTTTTGTCAATCTAAAATGAACTACTCTTTTCATGTAACTAAACAGGAACACAGACAATTCCGGAACTTTGGTCTGACCAGAGACCGAATATTTTTTTTTTTTGGCCTAAGGGAAATTTACAAAAATGCGTCTTTAGACGCATATTTGGAATTGACCTCTTATTGTTTTCTTTAAAATGACAGCATGCCAGAAAGAATACTTTCACAGGGAGTTTAGTGCCATTACTATCTTTAAACCAAGTATGCTTTTCAACAATAAGTTTGTCAGTTACTTTTTGGATAGCTGCAAATGATCTACTCGACCTATAATGCTGCAAGTAAAAGTGTAGTTTTACAGGCAAAACTTTTGTCAATCTAAAATGAACTACTCTTTTCATGTAACTAAACAGGAACACAGACAACTTCACGGTATTACTTTGTTTTTTTTCTTTTATTCCCCCAAATAAATGAGAAAGTTCCACTAGTCTGTTCTTTATCACAGTGTGAAAAGTTGTCTACAGGCCTCCCCATAATTTCATGTTGTCAATTTTTAATGTTCAAAATGGACCTGAAAATTGGTGGTGTTTGAACAAATTCACCTTCTGTAATAATCCCAAACCACAGGACACATAAATAAATGGGAACGTTACACTCTGTTAATTTCTGACAAATGGATTTTATTTTACATTATTTTGTAAACTGATCATCTTTGTCTCGTGATTCCTGAGGCCTAGAATATGAAAAATAAAATACTATTTACAATTTCCACAGGAAAATAATGGTTATGAGTGATTCATCACCTTCACTGACTCTCAAAAATTCATCCATCACAAAAGATATTTTTGTGTTTCCCTCGGAATAGCACCCAAAGAATACCATTGCTTTTTTTTAATGTTGATGGCAAATGAAAGGCATGATTTTCCCTCCTAAAACAATTTTAAATTGGCACTCACTGGATTTTTTTCGGTTGACCAATCAAGAAGTGGCCCAAGATTCCTTTTTTTTATTTTTCTGTTTTTTTTCCAAATGGATACCTCATTTCACATAATACAAAAATCTCACTAGGTCAGAACAGGAAATTCCCAAGCCAAGTTATAAGACTGTTGGTGTCCTTTATACATATTTGCAATTCCATGGCAATAGTTCACAATGTATATTGTACTTTAACACGGTCCATACCGCACTCTGCATGTTGCGTTATTCTAAGACTTTACTGTGCGTCAGGTTTGCTTGAAGATAAATTAGTTGTCCCACTCGCGCTCGTGGAACACGGAAAATGTAGTGCGTCTGCGTCCCACATACCACGAGGCCAAAGACGCACTACATTATTCCGTGTTCCACTTGCGCTCGTGGCATAACTAATAGTGTCCATGCAACATATTTCAAACAATGCAGTCACATCAGTACGCAATTTCAATAAATTTGTTAAACCATGGTCAGAGTGTTTTTTTAGAGTGTGTTCTTTGCCAGGGCTGTTCTTCAAAATGGTACAATGGATATACACGAAACCTTCACCAAATATGTCCAAAATACCAGCCTATAACATATCTCATTTGCACTTGTTTTGATAATTGATACATATTTTTAATATTTTTTTCAATTTGGGTCCAGATCATCCTGACTCACCCTGTACAGTACAATGAAATCATGGCCTTTTAAAAGTTTACAAACAAGAAGTATGAAGCATTTTGCATTCTGTAAAGCTCAAAACATGGAGGTTGCAGTCAATCTTTACCAAATAAGTACAAAACAGAACCAAACATTTTGCACTGTTTTTTACGATTTTCTAAATTAAATATACTGCAGTGTAGGTCCAGTATAGAAAAATTGGAGGGCAAGCTTCTTAAAAAGTTCATAAAAGGGCGATATACTTCTATGTGCTGAGAGATAACATCTCAAGAACATTTTGAGTGCGTGATACTTTTTTGGAGAACTATCATTTCTGTCGGTGGTCGGAACCTATTGCTTCTGAGACTGTATTGTAGCCATCCGCCCTGAAAAAAAATAAACGACAACATCACAGGATTTTAGCTCACTTGTCGTTTGTGATGCGATCAAGCTAAATGAGTCGTTTGTCGACCCTGGTCTTTTAAAAAATTTTTTTACAGATTTGGAAGAGCACAATGTTAGCATTACTGCTGTGAAAACCGCATGCTGGTACCATCTTTAATTCAAAAATTATGGAAGATGGAACACCAAGAGATGTGATGAAGTGATGTGATGAAGTGATGTGATGAAGTGCCCTATTTTGACCTGAATCTCCAAATGAAAGTTCCCGACAAACGACTCATTTAGCTTGATCCCATCACATTTATCTGCTGCAGTAAATAAAAAGAGCTTAAGAAATGCCTATTTCATTTCTAATAATAATTCTTCAATCTTTGCATTGTAACTCAATACAATCCATAAAGAAATACATGTATGCAAGAAAACTTTGGAAAATGAGCCTTACCTCAATAATTCATCCAACTCTCGCTTGATCCGCTTGACTAGGGGCGGTCCTTCGTATGCTAATGCTGTATAAAGTTGAACTAGACACGCCCCTGCCTTGATCTTCTCATAGGCGTCTTGACCCGAGCTGACTCCGCCCACTCCGATGATTGGCAGCTCACCTGAAACAGAGTCATTGTTGGTAATATGTGTTTAATAAATAATTCAAACTGTCGCAAGCTATTATGCCATTTGTGTCGAGGAACCACAGGAAAATGTAAGTTTAAATAAGGATGAACGGTCCCTTTTGATGCAGCAGAACAGATCTTTATGAAGTCACATGATATCGGTGTGCAGCCCCTTCCTGTCGTGTGAATTCCATTTTGTTTTCATCTGGCCTCTTGCAGGACGAGCGAAAGTTTTTCACCTAACACTACGTAGATTTTATTTTGACACGATTTCCCGATCTTATTTGAAGTGCGCAGCGTCCGCTCTTATATGGCACAATTGGTAAACAATGAAAACTGTGAATTGCTCCACATTGTGAATCTCATCTATTGAACTCACCTTGTGTAAGTCTGTACATGTCTCTGACCGTGTCCGTCGCCATGTGTCTGAGGGGAGGACCACTCAGCCCCCCACCCTCAGCTTTGTGGGGACTCTGTAGACTAGCAGGCCGTGTGATGGTGGTGTTGGTGACTATAAGCCCATCCACTTTACCCTGATAAAATATCACAAAGTCAGTGTTCAAATGCCTGTTTCAGACATCTCTCTATGAGTGAACATTACAAATCCATAGCTTAAACTGATTCGCTGAAACAAGTCAAAAGGGTGCTGAAGGCCAAAATATTAAATGCCCCTTTGCAATGTAACTTTTTTTTTAGTGATATCTTTGAAAATTCACCTTTGTGTCTCATTGAGTCTTATTTTCAATTTTTGTTTTACCATTTTCAAGGGTATTTTGGTGCCTTCCTCTGCTGTGACCCGGGTTCCAATCCCACCTGGGCCAACATGTGGACCTGATTCCGTGGGTTTCCCCCAGAATATTCTGCTTGGGTTTTCCTCCTACCTCTAAAACTGTAATTGCTTCTCATTGTCTTCTCTCTACAGGTTTCTTCAGGCTTGCGAGCTACATTGCCTAGGGCGCTTTTGAGGAATCCTTGGTCTCATTATCAGAAATAAATAATTATAACAATACTAACCAAAAATGGTAACGTTAGGGAGACATTCCCATAGACATTCCCATGCACAATTTTGTATAACTTCTGACGCAAAGGTGTCTCCAAAATGGTACTATTTACGATAGTAATATACATCACAAATTAACCACTAGTAGATCAATGGTCCTTGATCATACTTGCTCTAGACTGACAGGCGTTCTCGATAAAACCAGGTAGTGTTTTTTGGGTCCTACCTCTTTCCTGGTGACAACAGCAGCAATGTCCTCCTTATCTTGTTGTGTTAGGTCAGGTGCAATCTTGACAAGTAGGGGTGGTCTTGGGGTACAAGGCAGTGCGTCTCTTGCTTCTAGTACCTATCAGGTTAAAAAAACAAAACACAGCTTGTGTTTTAATATGCTAGTGTTCAATAAAGCAAACTCAATTTCAGTAATGCTGGTGTTCAATAAAGCAAACTCCATTTCAGTAAAAAATAAAACCCATGCAGACAATTTTGAGCTTATTTTTTCTTCAAACAAACTATTTGCCCGCCTTCCTACAAGTTTGCGATACTAGGAAATGTGCAGTGAACCGAGCAGACTTCTCAAAATATTTGAGTAAATTGAATTTACACAGGTTTTACTCAGAACCACAAAGTGGTGTCATTAAAAAGTTCCACTCATCACAACATTTATAAACCGCTCTTATTTTATTTGAAGTGCTCACTCTTAAACTGAGCTTCCATTTATACCTGACAACTATGCAAGCTGATACCTTCCTTGACGATAAAGAAAGCACATTATTTGAAACATTTCAGTTTACACAGGTTTTTCTCTCAGAACCACAGAAACCTCGCACAAGATATTTATTGTCAAATGATGCAGACCTACTGACTAAATAATAATAATAATTGTGGTTATATAGTGCTTTCCATTGTATCAACAATCTCAAAGCGCTTTACAATTATTACCCCGTTCATCAGGCCATGGGACCACGTGACAGCCGATATCAGCACTCAATCGGTCTTTGACCCTCACAGGTACCCACTTATACTCCTGGGTGGAGAAAGGCAATTGTAGCTAAGTGTCTTGCCCAAGGGCAAAAACACCATGTTCCTGACTACCTGACCAGCCAGCCCAATGATGGGCAGAGGTAGATGGGGTGTGCATTTACGGGTAGTATGGGAACCGGGTACAGGATTGAAGAAAAAAACCTGGGTACCCGTTAAAGAAACCCAACCCCAAAATTCATATCTCGGAAGTTGCTGTTAAGATTGTTCATCAAGGTCTCCACGATAATACTACTACATCGGTGCATCAATAAAGCAAGCTATGTACAGTGAGCTTTAAAGCTTTACAGTGTAAACTGCAGCTTTCGTGAGTGTCATAAAAAGTGAACTATGTTTTTTCCCATGTAGCCCGAGTTTCATTTAAAAAATTCCCCATGAATGACATTTAAATTTTGTTCACCTTGTCGATTAAGTGTGCAAGTTGTTCCCTGCCTTGCATCTTTCTCAGGCCTGGGGTGTTGGGACTTGAGACGTTGATAACCAAGTAGTCACCCAGACGTCCGAGGCGCTCGATGCCCTTCACGTAGTCATTGACTGCATCAGGGGATGTCTTGTTCTTACCAAAATTGATTCCTACGATACCTCTCTTTTCTTTAACAATACAAACCAAAATATAGAGTTCAAATAAAATTAAACATTGGAATTTGGTGAATGGTTATGGTACCCGCTGCTGTATCAGATTCGAACTGGCCAGCCGACCCTGGCAAGCTCGGTGGTCGAGTGATAAGACGACTGCACTAGTAAGCAGGAGGTTGTGGGTTCAAGTCCCATCGAGTAAGCTTGTCCTAACGATGGTCAATAGCCACCAACAGTAATCATAGCAAAGACAGCTCTAGGGCAGGACAGGTCAATATCTCTCTCTCACAGGACGCCATCTTCGTAGGCAATTACAACTGCGTGTTCAACGCCATCAGGTGTGTGTATGCACAGTGTGCAAAATGTTCTAAACACGCGGGCGTGTTGCTCGAAATTTCTTTGAAATACGGCGCAGTTGATAAGCGTCACAAAAATTTGACGCCCAAAATGCCGATGCACGTGGCAATCTATAGGAAGTGACGTCCTTTGAGAGAGACCTATTAAAATACAGAATGGTGTTCCAGGATCCGTACGTTCAAATCCCACTCTAAGTTATTTGTTTGTCCAATCTTAAAATATATCTTGGCAATCTTGTACTAAATTTTGTTGAAATTTTGCAATAGAAAAGTGACCCTAAAGGGAGAGGGGTGGTGCAGGTGTTAGTCTGGAGATGCAGATTCATTTTCTTGCCAAAAACCTGATGATTGCAGGAGAGGGGTGTCTCGATTTACCAAAGAAGCTGATGGTTCTTTTACCTGCCGGTAAGTGTGCTTTAGCTTCAGCTCTGCCTTGTAACCTCTTTAGCACCACTTCATGTCCTTCACTGTTGAAACCATATCTAGAGTGGCCAAGTCATAAGGTCAATGAGCAATCAGATTTTATTCAGACATTGTAGGCCTATAATAAAGGATATTGCTAGGTCAAGGAGCTACCAGTTGCAAAACCTGGTTTGAAAATGCCAACCAAGGCCAAGGAATCTGCTGGTTGACCAGTCAGTAGTGGAAAATGGTACATGTTGATTTTATGTTACAAAATAGGAGAAAATTCCAAGCTTTACAAAACTTTATACAGTGTTTTTCAATTTCCAGTGGCACAAGTGTGAAGAGAATGAAAAAGGAAATCAGCTGATCAGAGGAAAAGTTGTATGCCTGATAAACGCTGTGACTTACACAGTGACAATCTTACCAGTCTCAAAGATAAAAAAAAAAAAACATCCCAGTTTTACCTGTTGATGATGGCTCTATCTTCGGACAACCTAAAGACCCTGGGTTTGGGGTTCCCTTCCTGTGGTTCAGGGGTCACGCTGCCGACTTCTACGAAGCCAAAGCCCATCCTGAGCATGCCGTCCATGGCTTGGGCATGCTTGTCAAACCCGGCCGCTAGGCCTATGGGGTTGCTAAACTGACGACCCCATACCGTGACTCCCTGAAAGATAAGGTGTTGTAAATTCAATACTGGGTTTTGCTCTTCACCGACATATTTCATAAACAGTTTATACTCAGTGTTGTTCGAGTGCTTTTGGGAAAACCTTCACAAACTACTTGGGTGGGACTCGAACCCATGACCTCCTGCTTACCAGTGCAGACCTCTTACCACTCAAACCACTGTGCTTGCCGGGGTTGGCTGGTTGGCACGGTTGGAGCGGTTCGAGAAAACAAACTTCAAGCATTATCATGCATATGGTTCAAAGTTGAAGGAAGTCCGAATATGGGTTTCAACCAAGTCGAAAACTTGTGTCCTTGAGCAAGACATTCTACATGAATATATTTGAACAATCATCCTTATTTTGATTTAAGTTGGCCATTCATTTGCCCGCACCCATCTCCCTACCTAAGGGAAGTACGGACCCCTAAATCTCTTTCACAAAATTTTGTAAGGAAATGCAATGCATTGAGGATAACTTTTGCCATGATCATTGCATAACACATTCAGTATAATTGCTATAAATGCATACTCTGCGCTAACCCCATATATCGTCGTGTCTGTGCAACAAGGTTGTACCTCCTAAAATGGGCCGAACGTGAAATGCGAGTTTCAGAATGTCAAAAGATCGTATCTCACTTAAAATAACCCGGATGTACACACAAAGTCAATGGACATCGAGATACAACCTTGTTACACGGAGCATATTCGCGCGATATACAACTTTGTTGCAGAATGGAGAACTCCATTCTGCAACAAGGTCGTTACTTTACAACTTTAGGACGTTGTTGCACTGACGCGAGGATATGTGTCTCAAATACTGGACAGCCTCCGTTTCCTGATTCACAAAATGTTGCGCGCTAAATTTCCTAAAAAGTGTTTCTTGAATTTCAAATCAAGACGGTTTCATTTTTGTGATATCACTATCGAAGCTACTTACAGTAGTTAATAACCAGGAAAAATCAAATGGCCCAGGTCTACTTACTAATGACGGAGGGTCCTTGTAAGTGTTCCATGGTACCAATCCCCACGCAGCTGTCTTCACTGCAATGACGTGGGCTGACTCAGCGCTGACTACCCTCATGCTAGGCATGGCCACTTCCCGGTAGAACTTCTCGCTGCCAAACCCGAGACACATGCCTCCAAACAGTGCTGTGCCGCAACTCAGTAATACGGTGGCTGATTTAAATTTACTCTGCGAAATAAGCAGAAAGTACATGACAAGATTTAAGGGGATTTGGGCTTTTGTAATGAATTCCTTAAGGCCAAGTGCAACTGGAAAAAAACTGTTTCTCATCCAGGTTTTTTTAATAAAAGGGAGGAGGCGACCTTTGCACCCCTCCCCCAATGGATGGAATTTCCAGAAAGATTCTTCCATTTTTCTTAACACTTTTGCTGATACCTTGTGTCCAAGCCCTCACCCTTTCTACAAGATTGTAAAGTTGCATACTTGAAGCACATAAAAGATTAAATTGCAAATGACTTACATAAAAAAGGCCTCCATATATATGATTTTTAAAAAAAAAACAGATGAGGCTGGAATAAAAAGAAGTGGGCGGGGACGAAAAACTGGATTATTTTTTTAATTGGCCTAACTTATACAAGTACATACCGTATGTATGATTTAGTCCATAATTTTTGGTGCACTCAAAACAGTCAACATGGTCAAATATTTGGGGCCTTCCAAAAAAGTAAACAAGCAAAAGAACTCTGGCATGATGTCTGGAGCTCTCAGCCTCTACATTTCTGATGGAAAAGGTACTTTATTACGGAAGCTTGAATTGCCTTCCGCGATACCGCGTTACCGCGATAATTTATCACAGAAATCCGGAAATCAAAGATAAATCCTTCCGCGATACCGCGTTACCGCGATAATTTATCACAGAAATCCGGAAATCAAAGATAAATCCTTCCGCGATACCGCGTTACTGCGATAATTTATCACAGAAATCCAGAAATCAAAGATAAATCATTCAACGATACCGCGTTACTGCGATAATTTATCACAGAAATCCAGAAATCAGAGATAATTCCTTCCGCGATACCGCGTTACTGTGATAATTTATCACAGAAATCCAGAATTCAAAGATACATATTCCTCGATACCGTGTTACTGTGATAATTTATCACAGAAATCCAGAAATCAGAGATAATTCCTTCCGCGATACCGCGTTACTGTGATAATTTATCACAGAAATCCAGAAATCAGAGATACCTTTTCCTCGATACCGCGTTACTGTGTTAATTTATCACAGAAATCCAGAATTCAAAAATAAATCATTCAACGATACCGCGTTAGGCCAAAAAAAAAAAAATTCGGTCTCTGGTCAGACCAAAGTTCCGGAATTGACGCGGCCCCCCGTTTTTTTTTTTTTTTTGGCTTTTTTTCTTTTTTTTCTTCAAGCTTGGATTGTACAGACAAGGTGGGTACTATATTGCTTTTTTGGTGTCCTCATGTACATTAGTGTCCTCCATAATTTGCCTTGGTGCTTTCGATCATTTGCCTTGGTGCAATTTCCCATTCCTTGGTGCTCTTTGGTGAAAAAAAAATTGAGGAGGTGCGGAAATAGAGGGCGCTGTTGGAGCTACCGCGGAACATTTTGGAAAAAAAAAGATCGACGCGCATGATTAAAATCGACGCGCGCGCTGACCAGAGACCGACTTATTATTTTTTTTGGCCTTACCCCGACAATTTATCACAGAAATCCGGAATTCAGAGATAAATCATTCAGCGATACCGCGTTACCGTGATAAATTATCACAGTAACGCGGTATCGCGGAAGGAATTATCTTTGAATTCCGGATTTCTGTGATAAATTATCGCAGTAACGCGGTATCGAGGAATACGTATCTTTGAATTCCGGATTTCTGTGATAAATTATCGCAGTAACGCGGTATCGAGGAATACGTATCTTTGAATTCCGGATTTCTGTGATAAATTATCACAGTAACGCGGTATCGAGGAATACGTATCTCTGATTTCTGGATTTCTGTGATAAATTATCACAGTAACGCGGTATCGCGGAAGGAATTATCTCTGATTTCTGGATTTCTGTGATAAATTATCGCAGTAACGCGGTATCGTTGAATGATTTATCTTTGATTTCTGGATTTCTGTGATAAATTATCGCAGTAACGCGGTATCGCGGAAGGATTTATCTTTGATTTCCGGATTTCTGTGATAAATTATCGCGGTAACGCGGTATCGCGGAAGGCAATTCAAGCTTCCGTACTTTATAGACGATTTGCAAAAAAGTTGAAATTTGTTCAATGCTGCTGCTGTCAATCATGTCAATGACACTACCACCCCCATAATGCATGCATTTTTGATGTTTATTATCTGGTAAAGATTTACAAAGTTTAAATAATGGAAAGCTGTTGAAAGAAAGAAAGTAACAGTATACCTTGTCTTGGTCTAATTTTTAGTAAAAAGTAAGTGCACAAACTGACAAAGGTCATCAACTTCAGAAATGTGTGTCCCTTATTATTATACTTATACTAGGCCCTAATAATGTAATAATAATAAGGGACAAACATTTTTAAAATTGATGACCATTGTGCACTTTTACTTAAAAATAGACCAATTTCTTTGTGATTAACAAGGAAAGAATTATATACGCACGTCACTTGACACCCTGTGTACTGGTCTGAAAAATTTTAAGTGTTTCTCACTAAAACTGCTTCAATATTTTCTCTGCTAGATTTCACTTTTAGGACTTGTTTACCGCTTTCTAGTTCTGATGGCATCATTGCAGGGAAAAACTAGTAGTGGCGTACGTACATTCTTTCCATTAACAAAGACAAGGTGTTACTAGTTTCTTTCTTTCAACAGCTTCCCATTATTTAAAGGAAATATACAACATTTGCAAACATTGAAAAACAAAACTACCAAATTTGTACAAAATACCTTAGTAGGATGTTGGTAAATGACAGTCTAACTCTAAAGCATCCCGTAAAATTATGATACCTGGTGTGAAGTCATTTTCAAGAAAAGTGGTATTTTTGTATAAATTTCCAACGGTGGTCGACCGACCACCATTGGAAAAACCTAACTATTTTTCAACTTCTGCTCCAAATTTACCATTTTTTTTAAGTACAAATTTTGTTTGCCATTGGTTACATGTTCATGAACGGGTGCAGGCAAGCTAGACTGGTTCCCTTACCTTACAATTTTCCAGCATCTATAAATTGATCCATTTCATCTTTAATGGAGTCAGGGAACCAGACTGCTTGATAATTTTTGTTTTTCTTGGTTTTTCCAGCATTTTCGAACACAAAACTTCAAACATGTCAGTGTAACAGTATTTGATCTATTATACTAACCCCTCAAATAATTCATTTCTGAGAATTACAGCAAACGCCAATGATGTACATTCCCTTTAAACTTTGTAAATCTTTACCAGAAAAATGCATTAGGCCTGTTGAGCGCTTTCTTGTGATTTGCGCAATCATAAGCATGCGCATTCTTATGATTGCGCAACCGGATCCTTGCGCAATGTTCGCAAAAAAACCCTCTTCCAGATTGAGCGCACATTCTTAAGAATACGCGACAAGATAACAGTCTTGTAGCTGCCGAGCAGCGGCTGCGCTCGGCAAGTCTAGCTGCATCCTCGTTCACTGATTTATACTGTTGCAATGCAAGGTCACTTACCTAGGAAAAGATTTAATGATGAAAAGTAGAGTGGATATGAACGTTACACGTATTCGGGGGACCGGGAAAAAATAAGAGACATAATAATAGTGTAGTGGAAAGGATTCTGATTTTTGGGATAACAAAGGGTGGGGGCGTAAGAATGAAGAATGTGAAGAATGAGAATGAATACTGTGACATCCCATAGCGCTAATGCTATTTGCCACTTAAATTGCTATTGTTCACACCCCCACCATTACGCCGCAGAGCTGGATTGTATGTAGTCAAAAGAGCAATTTTTGCAACTTCTGGACATCGTTTTTTTTTGTGACATGCATATGATACATACAGGGACTTGTAACTTGTCTAGCCTAAACAAAGCAATTCCCAGACTAGTTCCCAGTCCTCCGTTATTACAAAACTTCCCTAGCCATTAGTGGGCAGAAAAGCGCAATAATAACAGGTTTAATTTGATTCAAAATAACAGGTTTAATTTGATTCAAATTTTACCGTAGTTATACGAGTACAGAAGCATAGAATATTTTCTTTCCTCGTTATATAAATTATTTCCTGTTTAACCATTATACATAAATTTCATTTAACATAATTATGCCGTGCAATGTTTGTTAAGATTGCGCAAAATTCATAAATTGCGAACGTGATATTCCCACGCAATCTTAAGAATAAGCGCTCATTCTTCAGATTGTGTGCTCATTCTTAAGAATGCGCGCTCGTTCTTAAGAATGCGCGCTCATTCTTAAGATTGCGTGATTTGCAAGAAAGCGCACAACAGGCCTACATGCATTTGCAATTGCATTTCGATTACGTAATCAGTTCAGCGTCAGCGACATTACAAAACAAGTCTGTACTGTGTGACACTGACAGACTACAAAAAAGTACAAGAACGCCACACAGTTCCACATAATACAACGGTTTTGATTGACTACTGCCTAGACTAAAGAATGAACTATATAAACATTGAACTTATTAACACTCACAGCCATGCTGATTGCTCTCTCACTCAGTTGCATTTATCGAAAATGTATCACTTAATTTTCAAAATCTTTTTTTACTTTAGCAAACCCCGCGAAATCATTCATTGGTTTGTGGAGTATGCATTCCACAAATGCATAAGGGAAGTGCGCTAGCTGGGCGCAAGGAATTTGGGTCATGAATAATATCATACATGACATAGCCGCATTCGAATCCGCTGTCTAGAGCTACGTCTAGGTCTGCGCCTATTAAAAATACGCGGGGCCGGGGACGCGCTGACAATAGACGTAGCCGTAGCTCTTTAAGCCCGTTTCGGACACGTGTACGCATAAATTATCAGAAGTGACAGTTTTGGGTTGTGATTCTGCCGCCGCTCAGCGTCACCATCGCGCATCGTCTGCTCATCAGCTGCTTTTCGAGCGAGGGGGTTTACTTGACTTGAGAACCTCAAAATAAACCTCACAATGACGGCATTTGCTGGTTTGTGTTATGTTTTTTTCTTACATTGTGGAATTTTTCTGGTCTTGGACATTTTTATTTTTTTCATTTTTTGCATGTTTTAATCGTGTGAGAGTTACGCGGCGCTGAGTGAATGCCACGTATTAACTGTACAAAAGAATACCTATTGGCTTGTAAATCCGACACAAAAGTGAATGCCTGTGCTCTTGGCACTTAAGTTATAGGTACCGGGAATTGGAACAAAGGGCAACAATAGGGACAATGGTACCCCGCAAGTGTGTCTTCAGAAATTGAAGTACCCCATAGCCATAGCCATGTTGAGCGCAAGTTTAAACTTGCGCGAGGGACTCCCGAAGCACGCAAATTACACTGCGCCATTTTAATTTGCGTGCCCACGTTACAACTTGCGCAAAGGCGATCGCAATTTGAGAACCTTGCCTTGCCGGCGGGATTTTCATTGATGAAAAAAAAAATTTTCAAAACACGAGTACTTGGACATGATGGAGAAATAAATTAATAAATAATGGAATAAATTAATGAACAAAGAAATAACTTATTAACTAAATTTAAAGGGAATTCAATTAGCGTCAACAGTGAAAAGAAACATTGAGATTTAGCAGTGCTTATCACTATCAGAGAAGTTTTTAGGGGCGGGGGAGGGGAGGGGACCGGGCAAGCAATCAATAAGCACACTATAACGGCGGTTGCTTGGAAAGTGTACGTTTTTTATTTACTGAAGTTGTTCAATAATAATTTAGACCAGCTTCAAGTTTTTGCCTTGTATTTGAGTTGTAAATCTAATTAGCATTTTTTTTTTATTCTTAAATGTAAATAAATCATACTTTCCTAGTTGTAAACCCCCCGTTGTTAACGTAAAAATAATGATTATGATCCCTTCAATTGTTCAAGTTTTGACATTATAGTAATCATTTTCATTATTTTTAAAACGCTTTGAATTACATTACGTGTACTGTACAATTAAAAAGTACTTATTCTTAAAAAAATACTAATGTAATTAATTTAGCAATTAATTAATTAGACGGTACAATAATTCATATTGTTTTTATAAATACTTTGCATAACATTTCGAGTGCTGTGTACATGTGTACACTTCAAAAATGCATAATTTGAAAAAAAATTGATGAACACATTGCTAATTTAATTAATTAATTTAATTTATTACTTTAACAATTATTTTATTTGCAGGCTCAATTATTCATAATGTTTACATTTTTTAACTTAAAATCGCTATGCATATAAAATGGTAATTATTTTAAAAAGTAAAAAAAATTATTAATGATTAATTAATTAATTTAATTTATTAATTTAATTAATTAATTCGACTTAATGAATAAATATGTTGTTTATTAGACAAAAATCCTAATGAGCCATAAACAATAATAAACATCATGATGCAAAGTGCATAAATTGTTCACATCTCTGAACCCTCTACATAGTCAACCTCATTTGCATAATGCTGTTAAAAAAATGTTTCAAGAAAGGCTTAAGTTTTTAGCATTGTCTCACAAAGCACAGTGGTGCTATTAATCGGAGAAAAATCTGCTTTGAAAATAATGTTACATATCTGCATGAGTTTACCCGGAAAAGAAATTAGCGGCTTTGCATGCATGGGGAACATCTATGTAGTGCGCAAGTTTAAACTTGCGTGCGCGCAGGTTTAAACTTGCGCAGGGGACTCAAATTGCGCTCGACAGCCATACTTTTGATATTGATAGCCCTAATGCTATGTGTTTTGATATGTGTTTTGATATTTCTAAGGGGACAAAGGTGAAACTAAAGGAGAACAAAACTCAAAATCAAGACAATTCACTTTTTTTTTTAAAAGATAGTAATCTTTCTAAAAGCACTTTCTACCGACTACTGTCAAAATTTTGCTATTATTCACCTGGTGAAGCAGTATTTGTATCTGCTGTGTTCTGCAAAAGTGCAAGGACCGTAAAGGACTAAACAGTTTTAAAAAGAAATACAATTTGCACTCGAGGGCAAATTTCATATGGGATATTAAATCAAATGTATTTTGAGGTATAAACACTGTATACTCAAAGTGTTACCTCCCGAGTGAAAGTTTGAAAAAAATCACTTGGGGTGGGACTCGAACCCACGACCTCCTGCTTTCTAGTTCAGACGTCTTATTTTACCACTCGACCACCGAGTTTAAGGCATCGGTTGACTGGTTCGAATCTGATGTACAGCTAGCCCCACTTATGTGGCCTCGGTATTGCTGCGCTGTACGTTTGGCCACACGTCTGGTTTTCCAACCTATACTGAGGAGTTAAATCTGGTGCTCCTTTTTTTGGCATTTTTTTTTACATACCACGACATACGGTTGTATTCTATGATGTCTCATCTTTTGCCCTCCGGGTAGATTAGGTAATCTTTTTTCAAATTTTTAGAGAAAGTTAGATATCTTTCTGGAGTCCTCATGTGCAAGTTTCGGACTAAACTCCTCAGTGGATTGGGAAACCAGACGTGTGGCCTAACGTACAGCGCAGCAATACAGAGGCCACACAAGTGGGGCTAATGTACAGGTAGCAGTGGGTACCGACAGTCCAGGTATACTCGGGCAACACACTGAGTATACAGTCTTTGTATGTCGGTGAAGGGCAAATCCTAATATTGATTTACATCACCCTGATATTCATCATATGAATCAAATATATTTTGTGTTTTTACAGAGTTTGGGTGCATCGAGTCACTTGTGCAGGCTGTTGAAGATATGGACTGGCTGTAAGTGGTTTGAAATTTATAAACGTCTTCTCTAATCTTATTTTTGGAAAGATTTCCATATAAGAAGTTCAGTAATTTTCCTCTGTATTGACTAACAAGCCCCCAGATAGCAATGTTATGTCATCAAAGTCAATTTGAGCAGTGAGAAAATACAAGCATTTTCTTAGAAAACACTTCGAATTTTTCAGTCCACTCTCATAGGGTTTGTACACAGGGTGTTGAGTGAACTTCTTATATGGAAATCTTTCCTTATTTTTTTCTGTTGATTACATCGGTACAATGCCGAAGCCTTCAGAAACTTCTTTTACACCAGCACGAATCCAACACGGCCTATGCATGTTATACATGGGTCCAGCGCTCTACATGGGTAAAGTCCAGCCCTGGTTGGGACCAGGGCTGGAGGCTCTACCCTGGTAGCAAATTCAAAATGTCACATACAAAACTCTTGAGAAGCCGTCGGTCGGACAAAGGAAATAGTTTGAGTCAAATCCCATGCCATTTTTGTGCTGCTTTTTCTTTACTTTTGTGTTTCCTGCCATGCCTGAGTTAAAGGGATATAACGGCCTGGAATACGCCCAATTGGGCTACAAAATGCATTTTAAACGAAATGGTATTAAATAGAAAGAGCATTTAAACATAGAATGTAAACGCTGACACAACCATCCTTTGAAAACTGGGCATTTTTGTGTTATTCTTTCGAGAACCATGCGAGAACGAATTTCGGGGGTCACAATTTTGTCCCGAAAAATCGAGCCAGTTGTGATTCCAGCCCCACGGGTCGCCCCCTGCGGACGTGTAAGAAACGAAATTTGTGTATCGGTGCTGTGTGTAATTTATGTGACACACATGTGTATCGTAGATTGAATGAAAATGACAGGAAAAACGTGTGCGTACTCCATCGTGTCCAATGTAAACAACCCAGGTTTTTTCCGTCTTTTCTTGGGAACGGTATAAAGACATTAGGATAGCTTCCTTTCAACTAGACCTTTTAAAAAGTATAAGTTAACAATCCAAAACATGACATTTTCGGGGATTTCAGACCATAGTGCCCCTTTAAGACACAACTCTTAGCCAAACTTGGCCAGTATAGACCCTTCCTACCTGTCAATCAAACAGTGTGCATTGAGCAATTAGATCATGACTTTTGGTCAGGTGACCACGGGAGCTCGGTCAAACTTGGTCACAAGGTGTACTCAAACCAATGATGGGCGGGGCTTATATGGCCGAAACAGTCCATTACAGCCTCGGCTTCTACCACTTTCAAAACTTTGCTGTTGCGTGAGAAAGCTTCCCCTATTCTGTCTTACAAATGGCAACCCTTGAACTGACTTACTACATATGTGTATATTGGGATTATCGACAGGCTGCCTACCGATGTGCAGGCTGAGGCTGTTCCATTAATCCTCGGAGGGGGTGATGTCTTGATGGCCGCAGAGACAGGCAGCGGAAAGACAGGGGTGAGAAACTCATTTGGTGTCCCAAGGGCTTGATATGCGTTTGACCAGTACTTAACTGTATGCCTCACAGTCTTCAAAGCCAAGGTGTCGGAAAGTAAACTTTTATGTTGGCATGACCAGCAGCAGTAATATTGAAGTGAATTAAGTTTGTCACTGTGTAAAGAATTAAATGTCTATACATCTCTTTCATCATCGTTATCACTGTTACCCCCTAACTGTAGCATCATCCCAAATATAGTTGGCTATAGTTGGGAATGTCCCAACTATAGTTAAAGCTGTTGCTGTGGTTGGCGCGTAACATCACTAAGACCACAACCATCCTCTTCTCATCTTGACACTTAAATAGCAGAGATTGAAATTATGATCAGACGTAGGACATTACCAACTAACAAATATTTGTGTCCTTCAGAAAAATCAGTACTGAAGGTAAATGTGACAGGCCATCCATTGAATTTGCAAAATCATTTTGTCCAAAAAGTGTTTGGGGTCTATTTTACCTTCTGGAATATCCTGCGTGTGTCACTGGTAGAAACGTTTTGTTGTATATCTTTCCACAGGCCTTCTGTCTACCAGTGATTCAGATTGTCCATGAGACACTGCGAGACGGCACAAGTGGCAAACTGGAAGGAAAAATCAGGGCAAAAGCAGGTAACTAAATAAATGTTGGCATTTTTCAAGTACCGTACATATAAAAACGCTTCATTAGAAAATGAACATTTCTGGGATCCAGGCTTATAAAGATGTTGCACCCTCTTTTAAAACAAAAATTCTTAACTTTACACTAAACTTATTACCTTAAATGTTTACTGTGCAATTTCAGGACCTAACGTGTTAGCACCTGAACTACATTGTAGTACATTGTATTTTACTTTATGATACCATAAGACGGAGTGCTCGGGCAGTTTCAGGCACTACAGGGAGTAGAAGGCAGGGGGGTTTGAAATGGTACAGCAACTAAAGGGCTAAAGTGACAGATTTTAAAACCATTGGTCGACAGTGTGTTGATCCGGAAAACCTGGGGCGCTTTATCTGAATACATTTTAAGGCATTTGATATTCTGTACATTTTGGTCTTATTTCATGTGAGTTTGCGTCGTTGAAAGAGCCATTCTTGGTTTTGAATTTTGGGCTTTTGGCGTGGTGGTTTTTTCTTGTAGGGGAATTTCTGAACATTTTGAAATGACAGACTAATGTGCGCGTCCTCCAGTTTTCACATTGTTTTATAAAACAAAAATCTGAGGGACACATACGGTATGAAGGTTAAACGTAAATCTAAATTTGGTCATTTATCATTTTATAATGTGGACACTATGACAAATCTATTAAGCTAGTCCAATCTGTTTGTGAATCCGTCCATTTTTATGTATCTCCCTAAATTTATCTCCCTTTACTTTTTTTGTTCCAGACACATCCAAATGGCAGATGAATGTGTTTGATAGAGGCGAGGCAATGGGTAATGTTACAGCCTTTTATTCATTTATTCATGTTTAAGGAGGGAAATCTGATGAACAGACGAAGAAGTAGTGCCAAACCTTTTAAACATTTATGTGCTCCATAAAGCTTTTGCTTAAAAGTTTAGAGGGAGTTTGGTTACAAAGTTGGAAAAAAAATCTGTGTTTTTGACTATGTGGAGAAAACTTAAACCTGACCTCCCCAATCCTTCCATTAATTATAAGCTTTACATGCGGTAAGGCATACCACCATAATCAGAGACCAACAGTTTGGATGTAGAGTGTACCATATGGTGTCGGATTTTGCAGGAGTAAGGAAGGTACCCTAGTAAATCACTCAAGGGGTTTACGGTTAAAGAAGTTGACAGTTGATCAAATGAACTCGATGTTACAAATTATCCTTTTGTCCACAGCCATTGATGCAACCGGTCTTTTGTGCCAGAGTAGAGAGGCTTCATGGCACGGTACTCGCTCCAACCGAGGAGTTATTAATAGAGGTTAGTTGACAGAAGGAACGATCATTGCTTTTGTGCACACAAATTAATTATGTCTCCGTCCCACTCCCTCGAACTCACTCCAGCATTGGTGTTGGGAGTGTCATGGCCTAGCGGTTAAGAGCACCGCACCGGACTCGTGCTCTGGTGTTTCAGAGGCAGCAGAATGTGGGTTCGACCCAAGTCTGGACGCTTGTGCCCTTAAGCAAGGCACTTAACCATTATTGCTTCGTGCTTCGGATGGGACGGAAAGCCGTAAGTCCCATGTGTTGTGTAATGCAATGCACGTAAAAAAAACAACAATAACACTTATTGCTAAGCGATGGGGTTTTGCCCGGTGTTTCTGGTCTCCTGTTAAAACTCCTCTGCGGAGTATTTAGGAGAAGAACCAACCAAGTACCAAGTATTGTCTGGTAGTTGATAGATGGAATGCCAATGCACTATGGGGGTTGGGGGAGGGGGAATTCCTGTTTTATTTTGATAAATAACTGACATCTTCCAGGCTCGATAGGATTATCCTTAAAGTTACAGTTATAGCCAAAACAAGTCTGGTTGCATGGTCTATAAAGGAAATTTGTGGGCTAATTTAGTTGACATTTGTACACATGTACTTTTCATATTGGCAGTTTGGACTGAATGATTCCACTGAATTACACGCAGAGGCAGAGGGCCATATCATAGCACAGCTCCATTTATTTCATCTGTGTCCTTTTTTTTCCTTTTCTCCCAGGCAAATACTACTACGAAGCAACTGTCACTGACGAGGGATTGTGCCGTGTTGGCTGGTCCACGTCCGATGCAAACCTGGATCTCGGTAGGTTACAAAAAAATGACCCAAGAAAATATCACATTGCCAAATGATTTCACAAGATGTTACAGTTAGTAATCCGGTAACATGGTTTTCTTTTGACACATTGTGCTCATAAAAGGGAATATACAACATTTACTTTTGCTGTAATTTTCAGAAATGGATGGATTGGGGGGGGGGGGGGGGGTAGTATTTTGTAGCAAATATTGTTACACTGACTTGTTTGAAGGTTTGTGTTCGTTGATGCTGGATAAACCAAGAAAAACCAAGAGTCATGTTCTTGTAGTCTGGTTCCCTGACCCCACTTAAGATGAAACAGAGCAATTTGTAGACGTTGGGGAATTGTAAGGTCAGGGAACCAGTCTAGCTGCCTTGTACCTGTTCACAGGTGTGTGATCAATTGCAAACAAAATGCGGACTAACTAAATATGGTAAATTGGGGGCAGTATTTTAAAAAAGCTAGTTTTTTTCCAACGCTTGTCGGCCAACCAGCATTGGAAATTGATACAAAAATGCAAATTTTCTTAAAAATTGGAGCACACAAGGTGCCATGATTTTACCAGATGCTTTAGACTGGCATTCACTTACAGCCCAGTGAGGTATTTCATAATGATTTGGTAGTTTCGTTTTATTGATGTTTGCAAATGTTGTATATTCCCTTTAACTGGTGAAGTTCTGAACTAATGAATTTCTGTTTAAATTGCCTGATATGAATACATAAATTGTAACTTTGCACAGTATTAAAGTTGCATTCCCGTGCTCTTCAACAAATTCAAACTTCGTCTTTTAACCCATACCTTTCCATGATGAATCCATAAAATGAATCCGTATTTATGATGAATCCATAAAACCAGAAATGGCTTGTGAATTGTGAATTTGTGGTTGGCGTAGGGATTAGGCCTAGGGTATTACACTTCATGGCAGTATAGGAAATGATAGGTTAATAAAAAACTACTTATAATCTTTCCCTCTAACCCTGCTAAATGCAACAGAAAGCAACAAAGGTAAAAAGTTGTTGCATACTGTTGCATTTAGCAGCCAAGTCCCTGTGCTTTCTTGTTGCATTAAGCAGGGTAACTGCTCATAGTGCCAAGGGGATGCAACAGAATCCACTGTTGCATTTGGTTGCATTTAGCAGGGCAACTGGTTGGTGCCAAGGCTGATACTGGGCTCACAGCACAATGCAACGAAATCCACTGTTGCAGTTTGTTGCATTTAGCAGAATCCATTGTTGCAGTTTGTTGCATTTAGCACGGTAACTGCTTGGTGCCAAGGCTGGTGTATACTGGGCTCACAGCACAATGCAACAGAATCAACGTTTGCAGTTTGTTGCATTTAGCAGGGTAACTACTTGGTGCCAAGGCTGATACTGGATTCACAGCACAATGCAACGGAATCCATTGTTGCATTTAGCAGAATCCATTGTTGCAGTTTGTTGCATTTAGCAGGGTAACTGATGGTGCCAAGGCTGGTGTATACTGGGCTCACTGCACAATGCAACGGAATCCACTGTTGCATTTTGTTGCATTCAGCAGGGTAACTGCTTGGTGCCAAGGCTGGTGTATACTGGGCTCACTGCACAATGCAACGGAATCCACTGTTGCATTTTGTTGCATTCAGCAGTGTAACTACTTGGTGCCAAGGCTGATACTGGATTCACAGCACAATGCAACGGAATCCATTGTTGTAGTTTGTTGCTTTTAGCAGGGTAACTGCTTGGTGCCAAGGCTGGTGTATACTGGGCTCACTGCACAATGCAACGGAATCCACTGTTGCATTTTGTTGCTTTTAGCAGGGTAACTGCTTGGTGCCAAGGCTGGTGTACACTGGGTTCACTGCAGAACGCAACGGAATCCACTGTTGCAGTTTGTTGCATTTAGCAGGGTTCTCATTTCAATTGTGTTGGATATTGTTGCATATAGCAGGGTTAGGGTTTACAGCATTTACCATTTGGACAGCAGTGAATATCACAACGATGTTCTTTTTGTTGCAGGAACTGATAAAAACGGCTTTGGGTTTGGAGGCACAGGAAAGAAGTCATTAGGTCGACAGTTTGATACCTATGGAGAGGTGAGCGGAAATATGTTGTTATTTTTGTGAGGAGATGTAGGATGAAATTACGTACTTACACTAAAAAAAGAAAACAAAAACTATGTAATTGACCTATTGCCATTTGCATGTTAGCCACGCCCCTTAGACAACCCTATGGAGTTTTTGTACACTAGGTTTTGTTTGTCTCAGATTTTGCACGTTCCACATCTATTTGTATACAAGCTGATTTACCCGATCATAGATCGGGTAGGGCGTATTTGTGTTGGGGTTGAAAGTGTGGGGAGTTAACTGTAAATGGGGGATTTAGTTGAGAAGACATGTAGCTATAGAAAAGCAATTTACGGTGACGCGATCTGAGGCAATTTCTGACCACGTATGATATAGTAAAACAAAAGATCATCTTTTAAACATCATTTTCGAGTTTGGAGTCATTGAATCAGCTGTTCTGAGCAAAAGAATATTATAGTAGGTTACAATTTTTATTCGGGGAAGAAAAAGTGGGGGTAGGGAACCAAACGATATTCAGTGCCCGCTTTTAAATGTTGGGGTGGGGGTCCCCCGTCCCCCACCGATTGACACCGCGCCTATGATAATTATGTACCATGGCATGTATAACTGTCTGTAAATTTTCCCGTTGGTCTGTTGCATTTTGTGAGGCAGTCGCGTTTGTTAATGTGACAATAAATCATAATGGAATAAAACGTGAAGGTGGCATTTGCAATAGAAATGGTGAGTGTGTTACCATAAAATTACATAGTCTGAATCATGGAGGAAGGTCATTATGAAGGTACAGTATTGGACTCTTCAACAAACGTAAACTTGAACTTCATACAATTTGCGAGACCTGTGAGGGAAAAAGTCGATTGAACTATTTTATTCAAGTTGGCATGGTTCAACCATAATATAAGCAAGGCCAAACAGCCAACAACCGCCAATATTATTATTTATGCACTCTTCGTTATTCCAACCCAACATAGTTCAAAGATCACAATATTTGAAGCAATGCATCGATACCTCGTTGATTTACCCGATCATAGATCGGGTAGGGCGTAGAGTTGGGGATGAAAATGTGGGGAGATGAATGTAATTGGGGGATTTAGTTGAGAAGACATGCAGTTATAGAAAAGCAATTTCTGTGGTGCGATCTGAGGCAATTTCTGACCACTAAAACAATTTTTTTTAGCAAAAGATCATCTTTTAAACATCATTTTCGAGTTTGGTGTCATTGAATCAGCTATTCTGAGTAATAGAATCATTATACATGTAGTAGCTACAATTTTTATTTGGGGAAGAAAAGGGGGGGGGGGGGGGGGGGGAGGGGTTCCCCGTCCCCCACCGATTGACGCCCATGATAATTATGTACCATGGCAACAGTCTGTAAATGTTCCCGTTGGTCTGTTAAATTGGCCTTTTGTGAGGCAGTGGCATTTGTGAGAAAACGTACTTGAAAGGCTTGCCGTAGTACACAGGCGAAGGCTGATTAAGAAGGTCATAATTAAGTTTCAGTATATTGGACTCTTCAACAAACGTAAACGTGAACGTCTTACAATTTGCGAGACTGTCTGCGAGGAACTTGTCGAGTCAACTGTTATTCAACTTGGGTCAACCATTATAAGAGCAAATTTTACTCAGCCTCCGAGAAATATTTGCTCCTGAAACGATCTGAGACCGCGGTCTTTCGCGACGCCAAAATCGCTCCACGTCCGTGGAAAAATGTGGAGGGTGTCTTCCGCCGGTTCGGACACATTTTCGTTGATTTTTTGTGTGACTGCGTTTAAGATCGCGATGTTTGAAGCAATGCATCGATCCTTCGTTGATCCCAGACAGGCCCCCGAAATTATAACGCAACACATGTGGCGGGCAGCGAACTCACAACGCTCAGCCTTGGTGGAAGCATGGAGCTGTATTAACACACGATGGAAGCAACAGAGCACTATACACGTCACTCACATGCTTGTGCTTCAAATCATGCAAATAGCGAGCACCGTAGACCCAACCTCGTTTCCAGGGTGTGGAGCAGGCTGCAGTACGCGTTGCCATCGACAGTTTTGCATAGCCCGGAAATACTACGCAGTGTACACTTTCGATTGGTCAGACCGCGCAAGGCATATTTAATGTGTAGTCCTTCTGAGTATTTGTTGCACTCGGCGCAGGGGCGGCAAGCGAAGCATATGAAAGAATAGGGGCACTCGGTGGCCACGCACCATGGAGAAAAAATATTTTACCAAGGTCACCCCATACCACAATTTAGTGAACGCTTTTGCAGAACGGCTGAGTAGAACACGTAAACGAAACCCCTACGTTGACCTCGCTGACCTCGCACAGTCTAGACTCGCAGAAAAGCCAGCACAGGGGGCGGCCAGGCAGTCAACGTGAAAGCGCACACGACGGAAAATTCCTGTGCAAAATGCAGTCGCGAAAAATAGACGAAAAGGATCGCCGGTCCGTACGGGAAAATCAGGACGACCCGAAGTGTCCGACCCGGCGGAAGACACCCTCCGTATTTTTTCCATGGACGTGGAGCGATTTTGGCGCCGCGGGAGCCCGCGGTCTCGGATCCTTTCATGAGCAAACATCGTCTCGGAGGCCGAGTTAAACTCTCTCTTATATATATAGATCATGTAATTGGACAATATTTCACAAGCTGCGTTGACACGATTCTACCGCGATTCTACCGCAAAAGGTAGAAATCCAATTGACCAATTGATGCAAAGTCTGGGTTTTTTTGCCCTGAAAAAAAGTAAATTTGGAAATACGTTAAATGCTTGAATATTCTTTCAGAGAGAATATTCAAGAGTGGAACCACCAGATAAAAATTGCTTTAGTTTCAGACTTTTTATTTTATTAATCAGTTGAGAATTTGTCATTTAAGTGTCTTTTTTGGATATCTGCAGCCATTTGGCAAAGATGACGTCATCGGTTGCTACTTAGACTTGGACAATGGCACCATTGAATTTTCTAAAAACGGTAAGTTGAACTATGGGATTGGTGTCATCATGGGCAGCTTGAAATGCATAGAGGATCATTTGCATTCATCCCAAAAAGTAACCTACCGAAGTATTATCAGAAAGCTTACTTGGTTCTAAGATTGTACTGGTACTAAACACCCCATGAAATTATTCCGCCTGGCTTGCCGTCATTTAGAAGAAATCAAGAAATGTAGGTGATTTCCAATGATCAGTCAGTTGACTGATTTGGGGGACATCAATAGTGCTATTGACGAAATCGTTTTTCGGGATCAAAAAAAGTTGTGCATGGTTTGTCACTGTTTTTTATCTTGAAAAGTGTAATATCTACAGAGCTGAAAGTTAAAGCTTTTGAACATTTTTCTTGATATTTTGAGTGATGTTATTGTTGGAAATGAACCAAATGCACGAAAAGCAAATGATCTTATATGCCTTTTAAGTAGAGAATTTGCATGGTTGAAATTGTGGAATGAATAAAAAGAGTACGGAAGATTGCCTGAAGCTTTCATTGCGAGGCCGGTATTCGCCTCTGGTTTCCTTGGCATGAAAGAAACATGTATTTCTGTTTTCCCTGGTGGGATGCTAGTCTAACCGACCCATCACTGGTAAAAATTGTCTTGGATACGGCACAACTTAAACACACTGCCGCAGCTGCTTTTGAACCCCTATCTTTTGATGACAAATCTCAAACGCTAAGCACTGTGACTTGCTGAACAAACTCGTACCGTAAATGGAAAGAGGCAAGTAGGGGATGATATGCCATTAAGCAAGCATTGCATCACATGGGTAACAGCTGGATTCGAACCCCTGACCCTCTGATCACAAGTTGCAAACACGAACAATTGCATAATCACAGAAATGAGCCCACGACCCTCATATCACAAGTTGTGTCAGTACCCATTTATACTCCTCGTTGAATAAAAGGGGGAAGAGGGATTCGAACCCCTGACCCTCTTGTCATGGGTTGCAAACACCAACTACTCAGTCACTGGCCTAATTGAGACAGTTCTTCTTTTTGGTCCTTTTATACATGTAGGCGTGTACCTTGGTCATGCATTTGATATCGCCCAGCACCTTCTCAAAAAACCGATCTTTGCTGCTGTTGTGCTGAAGGTAAGAACCAACTTGTCATCAAAGAACCAACTTGTCATCACCTTACCACTACAACTTATTCATCAAAATCTTTGGCCATCCTGAATCAATTGAAAAAAATTTTGTGAGATCTGGCACCGGCTTTACTAGGCTTGGCTAGTCTTGTTCATATCAATTGCATGAAACGGTGTCTATTCCAAAACATTTAATCTTTGTAAACGTTTTTCCCTGCTGTTTTGAGTTCCATTTGTATATTATGATTTTTTTTTTCACAGAATGCAGAAATGAAGTTCAACTTTGGAGCGACACAATTCAAGTATAAACTAGAGGTAACACCAGTACTAATATCTGTAATGCTCAGACGAAAAAGAAATTGCCTCCTGTTGCCATTGCTGTTTACAGTAAATGTCTTCATGCATAAAAAAAGGACAACATTTCAACTTAGGACAAAATTTAATTTTCATTATACAGGGTGAGTCAAAAAGAAAGAAAATTTTTAGAAATATGTGGCTCACTCCATTTTATTTTTTAAAAGAAAACATAGTCCTAAAGTACATGTAATTTAGTAACTGTGCAAATTTCACGTAATTTGCATACTCTTTATCCAAGTTACGCATAATTTAATATGAAAATCACAAAATTCAGCTGTCCACCACTGATCATTTACTGTTCTACGAACTGATGAATACACATTAAATACAATAAACCATGGACATTTTTCTACCTCGATGAATGGAAGAGAACTTGCAAATGAAAACATACCAAAATCGCAGTTGATATTTCAGAAAAAAATAGATGACTTGTTCCTTGTATTTAAAACACAGGATTTGACAGTAAAAATAATATTTCAGTCTTGATTTAAATGATTAAAATCTTTTTAGTATTTGAATGCTAGCGTGTTATCTTGAATTCTCACTCAGCTCATAGCTTCCAATGGCATTTCATGTACCGCTATAAGAATGGGTTCTTTTTAGTAAAATGTGCATAACTTCGGATATCATGGATCAATTTCAGTAATTCTTTTTTGAGATGAGTGGAAGAACATGCTCTTTTAAGACGTACTTCATTGGTGTTTCAAATTTGATTGCTTTTTAAGAAAAAAAATAATTAATTCGGGTCACTTCCTTTTTGACTCGCCTTTTAGTACCTTCTCTAAGCATTTTGGGTTTTTTTTAATCAGAGCTGTTTCTAATGATGGTTTTGTGTATTTCTTTTGCAACCTTTTGGTAAACCATCATACCTTTTAGTTTTAAACATAAAACAACAACGTTCTGTCAGATTGATTATGCTAATACATTATTTTTATGAAATGTGGCAGAGTAAAGCGTAAAAGGCTTTGTGCAGATAATAATGTGCCTTCCAATGTTGTCTTTGTAGGGAGGGTACAAGGCCCTATGCAAGGCTACAGATGACTGCGTGATGAAATCGCCATGTTCAGGTAAGAATTGTAATTTAAACCCACTGGCTTTGTCTGCAGCTTCGGCATGATCTTAGGCTCATAATCTTCCTGAAATGATTTCTTCTCAAGGGCCAGTCTGTTGCATGCTGTACTTCTATACAATGTGTGACACTAATATCTGAATTATTTCTACGTTAAAAAAAAAATTAAAAATAATATATACATTTTTTTCATATTTAATCGTTAAGAACAAAAGGAATAATTGTCAACATTAAATATGTGAAGCGTTCTGGCAAAAGGAGACAGAACTAGATGTCAAAATGAGGGTTTGCGGGTTAAGAAAGAGAATAAAATTCTTCTTACAATACTGTTTGTTCCATTTCAATCGTACTTTCTGTTGACAAGTTATGGCTGTTTAGAGTTCGCATTTATCGGCATGCTGAAAAAGTAAAATAGTTTCGACTGTTTTGTAGTATGACACAAAGTATGCACGAATAAGAACCAGAGGTATAAACTCAGTTTAAAGAGTTAACTGAGTTTATAAACTCAGTTAACTCTATGTTTAGAGTTTATACCTCTGGTTCTTTTAACTGAGTTTATGCAAACTCTAATTTCTCAACTAAGAGAATGGTTCTGAAAAGAACCAGAGGTATAAACTCAGTTTATAGAGTTAACTGAGTTTATAAACTCAGTTAACTCTATGTTTAGAGTATATATCTCTGGTTCTTTTCAGAACCATTCTCTTAGTTGAGAAATTAGAGTTTGCATAAACTCAGTTTATAGAGTTAACTGAGTTTATAAACTCAGTTAACTCTATGTTTAGAGTTTATACGTCTGGTTCTTTTCAGAACCATTCTCTTAGTTGAGAAATTATTCGCACATGGTGTTTCTGCAAACCTTTCGTTATTTAGTATCTCCACCATGCAAAGCCTCAAATCTTACTTAAAGCCCGAGTCCATCATTTGCAGCTATCCAAAAAAGTAACTGGCGTAATTATTGTTGAAAAACATACTGGTTGAAAGATAGTAAGGGGACTAAACTCCCTGTGAAATTATCCTTTCTGGCAAGCTCTCATTTTGAAGAAATCAACGAAAGAAGGCATTTCCAACGGTGCTTCTTAAGAAGCACCGTAGGAAAATTAAAATTAGTTATTCGTTTTGTTATTCGGCGCAGCGCGCACAAGCATTGGAACGACGCACAGGCGCGCGCGGTTGCTATAATTCGTCGGATCAGTGCGCGACATCGCGTATAGCTGCAATTCAAAACAATTCAAAACATGATTTAGCAACTTTTGATTTGAAATTGAGATCCTAAAATGCTGTTTTTCTCGGAATATGAAGCTGAAGCTGAGCTGAAACTTCATCAAGTAAGTTGTTCAGTATCCTTCATTAGATTTTGAACACTATTGTTGCTTCAAACGAACAAAATGCACTAATTACAAATGATGGACTATATCTTTAAGTGGTTATAATGAAGGTAAACTATATGATTCAACAGCGAGTTATGAGTTCATACATGTTTTCACTAATATCTTGCAGGAGCCCAGCAGGCCACAGCTGGTAAGCCCCAGCCCAATGCACCCAAGGCTATCATTCTAGAGGTGGGTCATCAAAAAGTATCAAACCTTAATAAAAAAGAACCGTTAGGAAAACGGTTAACATAAATGGAACGTTTCCATGTGTGGAGTGCTGTGGTTAAGGGCATTGGATTCATGGTCTGCATGCGGGTTAAGCTGCGGGTTGGAGTCCAGCCTGGGGCTGTGGTGCTTGTGCCCTTGGGCAAGGCACTTTGTCACTCATTGCTTCTCCCCACCCAGGAGTGAATGGGTCCCTGTGAGAGCATAGATGGTTATTGTGGTTGATTTAGCTGCTTTGTGCTGAAATGGCAGCATTGAGCTGTATACTCCCCAGGGAGCTGAGATGGTGTTAGGAATGTTTCACGGGCCCAATGAGCAGGGGTAATAATGATGTAGCGCTTTGATCACCAGTCCTGGTGGATACGTGCGCTTTATAAATACCCACTATTGTACTGTAAGGGACTAGATTGTTTCTTTTGTAATTCTTTTCTTTTTCTTCTGTAATTTGAAATGACTACCCGGAATACAATGTAACAATGTTATCCTTGTTTTTGGAAAATCCTGTCTGGATTTTTTTTAAATTGAAGAACCTAAACTTAGGAAGACTTCAGTGTTTGATGGTGGTGTGCGTTGTGCTACCAGTAGATGTGCCATCTGCTTTGCCATCATGGGAATTCGTTAGCCTGTAGACCAATTTGGGCACACGACCAATTCTATCACGAAGGCCCCCTTCAATGGCGAAAGCATTGAGCTAGCTATTGTTCGGATAATCCATCACAAGGCAGTTGCTTTGTACAATAGCTTGCACAATGGTATCTCCATTGAAGGGGGCCCCGTGCGTATACTGTGATCACGTGCCTGGATTTTTATAGAACACCCAACCACAAGTCTCTGTGTAGGTCCAGTTTTGCTTGGTCATAATGCCCGTTCTTTGTGTATTACTATCATCATGCTTTTTTCCTGTTATTTTTGAACAGCCATCAAGAGAATTAGCTGAACAGGTAAGGAGATTATGTTTCGTCGGCTGATTCTAAAGATTGCTTCCACAAAATTGGCAAAAAATCACAGTTTGGCTGTAGAGTGTCTTAATTTACGCATTCGTATTAATTAATTTTGATATTGAGCTTTGACAAGATTTACTTACATTTAACGTTATTGAATTTTCTCGCTAGTTATCTTTAGTCGTCTCCTTATCATTAATTCATAGACCCTGAATCAAATCCAGCTGTTTAAGAAACATCTGAAAGAGCATTGCCCCAGGTAAACTGAGCTTTTTGTTCTTCCATTTTCCTTAAACTATAGAAGCGAATTATTTCTTTCTTATCTTCTCTTAACTTATTCTTCATTGGACTGTCTCCAATTGGAAATTACGTGTCAAGTATCAACAGGACTATAAATTTGTATCTGGAATGCACACTGTTCTCACTGGGAACATTCTTGGAATTTTCATTGCTGAATTTTGAATGCTAATAATAAAGATCGTTCAAATCGATGGAAATTATCACCTTGCTGTTATATCTGGTTGAAGCCAGAAATTGCCATGGGTTCCCATATGGCAATGCCGGGTGTTCCAAAATGGCAATGCAATGTGTTCCAAAACAACAATGCCAGGTGTTCCAAAATGGCAATACCAGGTGTTCCAAAATGGCAAAGCCACGTGTTCCAATATGGCAATGCCAGGTGTTCCAAAATGGCAATGCCAGGCATTCCAAAATGGCAAAGCCACGTGTTCCAATATGGCAATGCCAGGTGTTCCAAAATGGCAATGCCAGGCATTCCAAAATGGCAAAGCCACGTGTTCCAATATGGCAATGCCAGGTGTTTCAAAATGGCAATACCAGATGTTCCAAAATGGCAATGCCAGGTGTTCCAAAATGGCAATGCCAGGTGTTCCAATATGGCCATGCCAGGTGTTCCAAAATGGCAACGCCAGGTGTTCCAAAATGGCAACGCCAGGTGTTCCAAAATGGCAATGCCAGGTGTTCCAAAATGGCAACGCCAGGTGTTCCAAAATGGCAACGCCAGGTGTTCCAAAATGGCAACGCCAGGTGTTCCAAAATGGCAATGCCAGGTGTTCCAAAATGGCAACGCCAGGTGTTCCAAAATGGCAACGCCAGGTGTTCCAAAATGGCAATGCCAGATGTTCCAAAACAACAATGCCAGTTATTCCAAAATACTAACACCAGGTGTTCCAAAAAGGCAGTGCCATGTGTTAAAAATGTGTTAGGTTATTCCAATTGAAAAAGAAAAGAAATCTGTTGCTATTTTACCCAAACTGCTATTTGACCTTGACTGAAATTTGCACAGGGAGTTGTTGATTATGGGAGGCATGCCAGCTAAGGAACAGATTGAGGCTTTGCAGGAAGGGGTGAGTCTCATTTTGTCGTGACTTAGCTATTTCTCCGCTTTATTTAAGAAGTTTTATGAACCATTCTGCACCTGAATGGAAGCCGTAATGCTCCTATCAATTGTGAACTTAATGTGAACTGTTACAATATTTCACTCTTGTTTGTACACATCGCTGTCAATTTCAAGACTGTGTCTGGGTTGCAACATCAAAGTTCAGGGGAAAAATAGAATGAGTAGGAGTATCCATCTTCTTCAAAGGCTTACACTAGAAATCAACTCAATCATAAAGACATATGTGATGCGATCAAGCTACGTGAGTTGTTTGGCGACCCTGGTCAACATTTTTTTTTACTACAGATTTGAAAAGAGTACAACCTCAGCATTACTGCTGTGAAAACCGCATGCTGATGCCATCTTTAGTTGAAAAATTATGGAAGTCAGAACATTAAGCAATGTGATGAAGTGATGCGATGAAGTGGCCCTATTTTAGCCTGTATGTCCAAACGACTCATTTACGACAAACGACAAACGACAAACGACTCATTTAGCTTGATCGCATCACATATATCATTCGTTACTTTCTTCACCTCTTTTATCCTTGTGCCCAGGTTGATATAGTAGTAGCGACCCCTGGTAGAATTGATGACCTCATCAGCACTGGCAAACTCTCTCTGAATCAGGTAAATTTACTGACTACTTTTAAACTCTGAGCCATATTGTAAAGACTGAGACCCTGCCTAACACCTTAGCGTGGTGGCCCCAATTTTGTGTTGAAATATTTCCAACTTTACTTTTAAGGTTGGAAGTATTAAAGTGGTTTCAAATTTGGAATAAGTATCATGCACCTACATATTCCAAAAATGTGAAAGTTTAATTTTTCTGTTCATATGATACTTTTCAACCATCTACCGTAAGTTAATAATTTTGATTGCCCCAGATCCACTAATGTGACATCATTAGAGCAAAAAGAAACGTAGAGATTCAAATACTGGCACCTCAACTTTGGGCATAAAATAGCATTTCAACTCCCAAGAACACTTAAAACAAACCTGTACCAAAATGTTGCTTCCAAAGACCACTTTCAGCACACGTTGTCAGAATTCAACTCTAAAGTCACTTGAAATAGATGTGCTTTACTCTCAAAAGGCATGTATATATGACTCAGAAACTGCTCCTTTCTTCAGTTTTAACTGAAATGTGATATCAATAATAGTTTCCTTTTCCTTTGGACTTCCAGGTTCAGTTTTTCATTCTTGATGAAGCGGTGAGTAGTTAAAGATTTCTTCGTAATGGAATGTTTCCGGTTGTTATAAGTGACTAATAATAGTATTGGTGTAGTACGGCTATTCTTACCATTGCACTCATAAACATTCATTATTTATGTACTGATAATGACAGTGGTGTAGTGCTGTTTAGCATAGGTGTTTTTTCCTCTATGTTAACCCTAAAAGGGCCGGCCCTCAACTTTTTCCGCGATAGCTTCTTGGGTATGTTCATGATGAGTTGCTCTATGCATGTACCGAGTTTCAAAAATTTTCGTCACTCGATGGCAGAGATCTTAGGGGGGGGGGGGGAAATCCTTTTGGAATGATTATCAATGATCCGTATTAAACTTAACAGTACTTTGCAATTCAACTGTTGTTTCATTCTTTGTTAAAGAATTACACACTCAACGCAACGAAAATGTGCATTTCACTTCAAAAAAATCCAAACAAAATATTTGAAAAATTGTTTTTTATTTGTGTGCAGGATGGTTTGCTGTCAGCAGGCTATGGCCAACAGATCGCACGCATGCACAACCAGATTCCCAAGGTTACCATGGACGGGAAACGACTACAGGTAAGATAATTGTAGACCAAACTGTGTTTTTCCCCACTTTTTGTGGTTACTGTAGTAGCGTTCCACCATTCTCTAAAGGTTGCGTAGGCATTTCTCACGATGTACTTACCGTTTAGTGACAACTTAAGGATACATCACACGTGTTTTTGGCACTCGGTAATTGCAACAAAAAATTAACCATATCTCTTGTAAGTTTCATCGGTATGCCATTTGATGCCATGGATAGTAGGTAGATATTTTCTCCATGTAGTTTTGTCCAGTACACATTCACACGCCAGCTTGTCTGTGGGCGCATTCATCGGTGAAGCCCAGACATACAACTCTTCATGGGATCTGCTGATTTCCTCATTTTTTTACTTCTCATGAATGCCATTACAAATTGAAAAACACTGTACAAAGTCTTGTGTGGTTTGGAATGTCCTCGTTTTTTCCCCCTAAATTCTCAGTTGCATGCCTGGAAGCCAAGCAGATTTCACAGCTTCCATTATTTTTCGCTTTTCTTTCAAAATGGCTGGAAGTATGAACTGACTTTCACAAAGTTACCAATCAAATTCTTAAAGCGCTTAACATCCTGCATATAAGACAAGTTGATGTTTGGGTTCAAAATGGTGCCAGCTGGAGGAGGCAAGTTGATGTGGCTTTAATCTTGTTGCACAATTTTTGAAATTGTGTTTATTTGAAGCAATTAATTCCTTACTCAAAGACTTTATGCTGGATTTTTTTTCTTGGTTTCACAGATGATAGTTTGCTCAGCGACACTGCATTCATTTGAAGTGAAGAAGCTTGCTGTAAGTTATAGTTCGGAATTTAATGAAATTCCAAGTATCAAAATTAGAAGTAGGTTAAGTACATACATACAAGGCACAATTGTTCATTTTGGGTTGATATCTAGGTATGCACGAATTCGGCGAACAAAATTGGAAGACAGTTTTGAGTCGAAACCAGGCTTGTGCTCAGGTAGTCCTTATGCACTTTAGGCTCCTTAAACCAATAGAGTTATTAAAGTGCACGTTCATCTCATCTTTAAGAACGTGTTCGGCATGCATGCGACAGTGTTTCCACTTTAAAAATGGCTTCTAATTGCCGAACAAGTCTAGATAGGCCATTTTGAGCACGCTATCACTATGCACTCACGAAAAAAACCCTCAGTGGTGGACGAACTGGGCCAGCTATTGTAGTGTTTGGAGTGGGGTTTACCTACAACTCTTCATCCTGCACGGACCCAAATACCAAATGCAGATTTTGATTTCTATTACTTTGTGTACATTGCGAGCAGCCCTTTTACGAACATCTTTGTGTTTACTTTTGAAATTCCATGTTGTCAATGTTGATGTTTCAGGAGAAGTTGATGCATTTCCCGACCTGGGTTGACCTCAAAGGTCAGGACAGCGTACCGGAGACCGTTCACCACGTGGTAAGTTATTGCTCAGCTCAATTCTGAGGATCCTATCCATGGTATGGTCAAAACCTGGAATTTCACAAGTGAGCCGAAATTTTGTCAACTAGCCCATGCTCTTTGATTTTTTTTGCAAGTCAGCCAGATATGCTGGTAATCAGTTTTGTCCAAATACTAACATCCATGCAGTGAATAAAGGGAATTATAGAGTGAACATTGACGTTTTAGCAGATGTAGCTAGTCGATGTGGGAATTTTGAAAATGGACAAATATCAGATGTTTGTCTCATCTACCATCAGTCATTTACGCAAGCTTGTTACAAGTAAGTCACTCAACAAGGATTCAATAAAAAGAACAGTATTCTAACCAAAACTATTTGGATTGATGTATTTTTTTCACGAGGTCAACTTTTCTGTTTTTGTCATCATCAGGTTGTCAAGGTGGACGCCATCAGTGACACCTCCTGGCAACGGAAAGGAAACAAAGTACAGGTATGTCTCAGAGAAAGGAGTATCATCATCATCGTCGGTTTTAAGGCGGTTGTCCAGTCTGTTCTGGGTTGGCCTGCTTTCTCCCTATGGCTTTCCTCCACTTGGCCCTGTCCGTCGCGTCCCTCGCATTGACTCCAAGCAGTCGCATGTCACCTCTTAACAAATAAGATACAGTCAAATGAATGAATTATTTCTGGTAATGAAACCAAGGATTCCTCAAAAGCGCCCTAGGCACTGTAGCTCGCAAGCCTGAAGAAACCCACAGAGAGAAGACAATGAGAAGAAATTATAGTTTTAGAGGAGGGAGGTTAAAAAAAGGTCACAGTAAAAAAAATCATCTGCAGCCGATATACACGCAGGCGTTGCGCTGTTTACGTAGAGCAAAATAAAATGCTCATTTGCTGATCCTGTATAGAATACCTGTATAGAATACAAACGCAGATATGCAAATAGCCGTAGTAAGCCGTACAAAATTTTGAGTTTTCCATAGGTTTGTGCACAAACATGGATGCGCCCAGCAGGCATCACTTTGTACATGAGTCAGCGCTCTAGTAATTTAATATAGCTCTATGGTCTAAACCTACACATATAAGCAAGCTTGGACATTTTTCATGTTTATCGCAAGAACTCAGATTACACTGAACAGGCAATGGAAGATCGATTTTGTTTATGAACTATAAATCCGCTTTATAGTCTAACTTTCGCTGTTTTTTTCTCTCTAATGAATAGACCGATGGAGTTCACAGCAATGACAAAATGCAGTATGGCAGTCAGAGCAGAGGTACGCACTTCTTATTATGTTGCATTTAAAAAGAAATTCAACAAACTCTGTCCCTGTCCAAATAATTTACATAACAAAAATTAAGGGATGGGAAGGTTATCTTTGCTTGCCCAAGCCCCTTGAAACAAAGAAACTTAAACCCCTCTCCCCCCCCCCCCCAACAAAAAAATGACAAGAAACGGCATTGGTTACTTGATTTATTTGCACTGATGATGGCTTATGTTGTGTGTGCTCAGAGACTCTTTCGGAGGCAGTCAAAATCTTGAAGATTGACTACCTGCTGAGGGCCATCAACGAACACGAGATGGATCGTGGGATCATCTTCTGCCGTACCAAGATCGACTGCGACAATGCTGAGAAGTACATGAAGCATCTAGGCGGAGGTGTGTGTAGGTCTATTCTATTTACCATGTGGGGGAAGGAATGTATACCCTCTATCTCCATGTAGGCACACCCCTTCCCCAACTCGCCCCCCCCCCCCACCCCCAAGTATTTTCCCGAAATTTTATCAAAATACAAAGTCTGAATTTTCCCAAATTTTGCAAACATTTCGTTTAAACTTCTCTTCTTTTTTCTAATTTTCAAACACTTTCAATTTTGTCAGATAGTTAAAGAGACAACAAGTTTTTGCAATTTTGATGGATAAAATGTAATTTGGATGGGTAAAATTGGCCCCAAAGTATAGTAAAGCGACTTTTATCTGTTTGTACTTTGTCATTGACTAGATGATTGCTTTGCTATGAAATCCCTTGTTGCCTAACACGTTGCTCTGAATGTTTCAGGTCCCTATGCCACTGCCAATCATCAGTATTCCTGCGTCTGTCTCCATAGTGATCGCAAGCCCCCAGAACGCCGTGACAACCTCCAGAAATTCAAGGTAGCGTTTGCAAAATAGTGATTTTTTCATTGACATGAACGTTTGTCATGTAGCCTAGCTCCACATAATGTACTTTCGGCACAACGATTTATTTCTAGTATTTGCGTGAAAGCTCATCTGTGTTGGTAGTTAGATACAAGTGTCACCCAGTGTCATCTCCTTTTTGTGCTCAGATACCATAGTGAACTTCTTCTATACCTCCTCAGCATAAGTTGGTTTGTTGAATAAGGCTGTCACAATGTCCATTGTTCTCTCAGGATGGTAAGGTACGTTTCTTGATCTGCACTGATGTAGCCGCAAGAGGCATAGACGTCAGGGGAGTCCCATATGGTGAGTCTACGCTGAGTGAAAGGTCAATGGAATAATACCAGAAATAAATCAACAGTTATATAAGGAGCTTTCACTGGTATGAGTGAATGCCATGTAGAATGGTTACGGTGTTTGACTCATGTACGATGGTACGTGGGTTCGAATCCTGCCAGGAACATGGTGTTTGTGCCCTTGGGCAAGACAATTAACTACAATTGCCTCTCTCCACCCAGGAGTATGAATGGGTACCTGTGAGGGTAGAGGACTGAATGTGCGCTGATATCGGCTGCCGCGTGGTCTCGTGGCCCGATGAAAGGGGGAAGAATTGTAAAGCGCTATGAGATTGTTGGTGCGATGGAGAGTGCTATATAAGCAATACAATTTATTTTACTTAGTTTTAAAATATGGGAAGTCATGATCAGTTTGCAAGAACAAAGGGTAAAAGCTCCACAGATTTTTTTTCCGGGGGTCCAAATTTTCTTTCAATATAATGTAAAGGTGTGGAAGGTAGCCGCGAATGGGCACAGAGAATGCTGTTGTCGGTGCAGGGAAATATTTATCATACGAGAATGGATAGCGGTATATTTTTATTCCATATTTTTTTTCATATCTCAACTCTTCACTCCCAGACCCAATACATTCTCTCGCCTTTAAAAACTACTCTGTAACTTGATGTTATGAAAAACAATTACATTTATTTATTTCTTTGTGACACAGTTATGAACGTTACTCTACCGGATGAGAAGGAGAATTATGTCCATCGGATCGGCCGCGTGGGAAGAGCTGAAAGGTACTATCCATGCAAGATAAACAAGATTTCGTAGTACAAAAATTATCATAAAGTGTACATAAAAAACACGCTTTTTAAATTCATATTCAACTTTTATGTTTTTTCTGCAGGATGGGTCTTGCTATATCTTTTGTGTCAACGGTACCTGAAAAGGTAAAGCAACAAATATTACAAAAATTAAAATTTCTGTTTACAGTTTCGTGCAGCTAGGCAACAAACTTGAATAAGTTACGCACTGTTTCCTGAAATCGGCTGCAGGATACCTTGCTTGGATACTTCTTTCTGAAGATCATCATAAATTTGTGAGACAGTGTAATTGACTTCGTTATTCAATGCTTTTGGTGATTTTTAGAATTAATTCACTTCTTTCTATTACCTCAGGTGTGGTACCACTCGTGTCCTAGTCGTGGGCGTGGCTGCTACAACACCAACCTCAAGGAACATGGAGGATGCTGTATATGGTACCAAGAAATGCAAGTGAGTCCTGTAGGGCTGTGCATGCATTTACGGGTATTTTTTAAGCGGGTACCTGTTGTTATCAGGGGGTATCCCAAAAGTAGTAATTACCATAAACATGTTGATCATGAGTGTGATGAGTTGTTTTTCATTGTGAGTGCCTGGGATGTAGGTACATGTGGCACGGCTGCATCATGCTTGTCACACTCTACATGCAATCCGAAGCATGTTTGATGCACATAATCATCAAGTCCATCACAAGTCATCCAGTCTCCTACCTAGTGAAAATCTTTTGAAAGGCATAATTCCTCTGTCATTGTTCATACCATGTTACTTGTGATTTGAACTGGGATTGACTTCCTATTCAGCTCTTGAGTGACTTGTGATTTGTCTTGTGATTGACTTGTGATTGAGCTTGTGATTCGGCCTGTGACTGAACTTGTGATTGATCTTGTGATTGATCTTGTGATTGTGATTTGCCTTGCGAGGGACTTGTGATTTGTCTTGTGATTGACTTGTGATTTGGCTCGTGACTGAACTTGTGATTGACTTGTGATTGATCTTGTGAATTGCCTTGCGAGGGACTTGTGATTTGTCTTGTGATTGACTTGTGATTGATCTTGTGAATTGCCTTGCGAGGGACTTGTGATTTGTCTTGTGATTGACTTGTGATTCGGCCTGTGACTGAACTTGTGATTGACTTGTGATTGATCTTGTGATTTGCCTTGCGAGGGACTTGAGATTTGGCTTGTGATTTGAATTGTGATCGACTTGTGATTGACTTGTGATTTGGCTTGTGAGTGACCTGCAATTGACTTGTTATTTGGCTTGTGATTGACTTGTGATTTTGATTTGCGATTTTGGCTTGTGAATTGACTTGTGATTGAACTTGTGAATTGACTTGCGAGGTGCTATTTGATTTGGCTTGTGATTCGAATTGTGATTGACTTGTTTTTTGGATTGTGAATGACCTGCAATTGACTTGTAATTTGGCTTGTGATTGAAATTGTGAGTTGACTTGTCATTTGACTGGTGATTTAACTTGTGAATTGACTTGCGAGTGATTTGTGATTTGACTTGTGATTTGAATAGTCATTTGACTTGTGATTTGGCTTGTGATTCAGATCATGGTTTCTCTGTGAATGATCTGACTTCAACTCTGTCTAGAAGGTGTCAAAATCCCCTTCCTTAAGTTTCTATCACCAAACTGTAAACACCGACTCTGATTTTCATCCTAGTACTTGGCAGACATTGAAGAGCATCTTGGTGTCGTGATCGACCAAGCTGAACCCGACATTAAAGTGGCCGCCAATGAGTTTGACGGCAAAGTAGTCTACGGACAGAAGAAAATCAATACAGGTATAATTCTTGGACGGGGTTAATACAAAACTCCTGGTTTCGTCTCGGGCTTCATCTTCATCCTAAGATTGGCTTCATATTCATCCTAAGATTCTGATCAAACCCAACCAAAAACACATCAACCATTGGCCTCGTGTGACAGCATTTGGCGTCTCTACAGTATGTCCCAAAAAAGTGTCCGTCTGCCTTTTTTTGCACTAACCACAAAACCATGAGGTCAATTTTGAAAATGTTTGGTTGTGCAGATACTCCTAAGCATTGGTCTCAACCCCTATGAGTTTCATTTAATTTCAGTCTTGCATCACTACACAATTATCAATTAATCACAACAACATTTTTTTGGACACTGTGACCAAGTTCCTTGCCTTATTTAATTTCAGTGCTGTGTTAAGCAAGCTGTGTAAAATCCTTGGTGCTGTGAAAAGGGCTGTAGTTGGGATTGGAATCATTTGCCTGGCTATCAGTCATCAAAATGCTCAAGGGAAAATTATTACAATACCAACTTGAACCACGTCAGCCTTTTTTTCACAACATGCAGGATTTCACACAGCTTACATTACACAGCACTGAAATTAATTAAGGCAAGGAACCTGGTCACAGTGTCCAAAAATGTTGTTGTGATCAATTGACAATTGTGCAGTGAGGTGTGACTGAAGTTAAATGAAACTTATAGGGTTGAGGCCAAGGCCTAGGAGTATCTGCACAACCGAACATTTTCAAAATTGACCTCATGGTTTGGTAGTTATTTTAAAAACAGTCAGACAGACACTTTTTGGGGACATACTGTGTAGCAGAAAATTGACCAGCATTAATCTGGAGTCTGTCAGGTCTAAATCATTATGAATCTGAAGCCGAAGCCTGATTTTTTTTTAAATTGGTATTTATAATATACATGTATTCTCTGCTTGCTTTGAAAATGTTCATAGAATATCTTTTCTTTATATTTAAAAAAAAGTTATCTTGTGTGTGAGGGCGGGGATTTTACAATGTTGTGTCTCCCTCCTACAACCATTCTTAGATCTAAAGTATTTTTTGCTGGACTGGAGAAGCCAATATGAGTCACTGGCTGACCGACTGATTGAGTGTAAATAATGTCCTAAACTGGAGGCTGTCAGGTCCAGTACATTCGACTAGGCAAGCCTAGCCTTGTTTTCATTGATAATGAGAAAAGGATTTGTTTGTTTGTTAATTGACAGGGAGTAACTACAAAGGCCATGTTGCTATCTTGGCTCCATCTGTCAAGGAACTGGCTCAGCTTGAACAGCAGGCACAGACGTCATTCCTGGGGTTCTCAGGGGTGCAAAACACGTTGTTTGCCGCATGAGGGGGGCGGGGCTAAAGGTCCAGGAAGAAGGAGGCGGCATGCTGGAAGGACCACTGTTGTCAGTCCTACTTCATAGTTTTTTGTTGAAGCTAGACAGTCTTTTATTGAAGAAATCCTTGGTCGCTTAGCACACCTTCATTCTTGCATCCAGCATATCCCAGAACCAAATGTGAAGCGTTCTTGCAAAATGACACACAACTGGGCAGACGTCAAAATGAGTGTTTGTGAGTCTTAAGAAAGATAACAAAATTCTCTTTAGAATGCTGTTTGTTGCACTTTAATCGGATATTCCGTTGACAAGTTATGGCTATTTAAACTTCGCATTTTTCGACATGTCAAAAAAATAAAATACTGAGAAAAAGGCCTTCAAAGTTTCGACTGTTTTGTAGTCGTGAATATGAAAGATACCAATTGTTTTTCCTCAAAACACTTTTATTCCATGATTTGTATAGTATTTCTTTCAAATAAAATGTGAAGCAGACATATCAAAGACTAAATCTGAAAATTGAAAACAAAATCACCACCATTTTTTTTTTTTTTTTTGTGCATTTTTCTCCACTGCGGCCTGTGCCCAGTTTCGTCTCATTTTGCCATTGCGCTTCACAAGTGTTATGGAGCCACCAAGCTGAAGAAGTGTTCAACACACTGTATGTAATAAGCAAAAATACACGCAGAATGCGGAGAACCAGTTAAAAGTAATGTGCTTCAAGCTACATTTTGGCTGGTAAGCCATGTTTTGCTTAGGCAAATATATTGTGTGCTTAGCAGATTCCCATGCTTAGCGGCTCATGAAATGGGCCTCAGATCTTCTGATAAGTTTAGTTTACTGTCATAGTCTCATTTGTCTGCAACTGTCAAAAGTTGAGGTCGGAGAAACTGTGTCTGTGATTCCGCTCCGTTCACAAGTACCCCCTCACCGGCAAACAGAGTACAGTTGGGGGTGACCTAACGACGCCATCTTGCCTGACTGCAATTTTGCTGCAACACGCGGCCGTACCACTTGCATGTACATAGTACAAATCCCCTGGTGTACGTGCGTCACACACAAAGTACAAGGAACGGTGCGCGTCAACCAGCTAAATGTCCCGCCCATGGGACGAGTTGCTAGATAAAAGGGCGCGCCCTCTTTTGTTGACGCACGGAGTTCATTATGCTTGTCATGGCTTTAAGACATATGCAACCAGTGTACTCAAAATGCATGGCTATACATTTGTGTACCTACAGTACCTAATTTTAAACCATTGTATGAGTGTAAGTGATATGAAGCAATATCAAGTATAGACAACCTGACTAATATATGTATTTATCTCCAAGCGAACTTCAATCCTCGATGCTGATTGGTGGATCCATGACAACAAACTGTGCTACATTATCCCATGTAGCACGGTCTATACCGCACTCCGCGTATCGCGCTATTCAAAGATGCTCGCGCCATTCATGCTGTACGTACGTGTAATAGGAAAACCGCTGTACAGCGCACGGTGCGTATTCCATCTCACTGTGCGTCAAGTTTGCTTTAAGATAAAATTGTTATCCCACTCGCGCTCGTGGAACACGAAAAATGTAGTGCGTCTGCGGCCCACATACCACTCGGCCTTCGGCCTCGTAGCATGTGGGACACAGACACACTACATTATTGCGCGTTCCACTCGCTCTTGTGGGATAACTAATAGTATCCTCTCTATTAAAGAAATTGAGAATATGATTTAAAGGAAGAGCAAAAACTAAGAAATTGCCAAGAAGTTGCTATTTTGTAGTTTTATGGGAACTCGGCCTGCCCTTCCTTTATGTAGCATGGTTTGCAAGAGTTTAAAAATTTGTAAAGAGTTATTTTTGCCTAACTCTAACAGGTTGAAGGTGGCAACTTGCAATTTTTGTCCGCTTTTGTAATCATGCATTTAAAAGCTTTCAATGAAAAGAATTGAAAAAGAAGTCTTAAAATGGCACTGTAAAGAATATGAATTAAAGTTAAGAGCATCATAATGATTCTGATTTTGCTTCTACATCTTGTGCCTCCTAGTAAAGTATTTCAATACATATACATTTGTGCATGTACTCAATTGCATGCGTTAAAATTACAATACAGTCGAGTCTCGTTAATACAAACTCGTTCGGACCTAGCCAAATTGTTTGTTATATCGGAATTTTGTATTAAGAGGAACCTCAGTCCCATTCATTGTGTACATAAATGCACAGTCGGGACCAAGGCCTTATGTTTGTTATAACCAGAATTTTGTATGAACAGAGTTTGTACTAACGAGAGTCGACTGTATAGTGTTGTTTTCCGGTCCAATTTAACTTTGCTAAATCTGAAGACATCCCAGACTCTGTGAGTAGCCAAGCGCCAACACATAGTTCATTATAGATCAGTACTGCAGTACATGTGCACTCATTTTCATGGAGGTTTAACAAAATATTAAATGAAGTACATTGCCACAAAGTCGTGGATTTGCTTTGCCTTAAAATAAAAAATAACATGTTGAAAAATGATTTGTGTTTCTATTATTGTCCTCTGCTTTTGTTATCGCATGGCTGATTTGTAACATACATTGTACATGTACTCCACTCTATAAAAACTGGGGGAATTTGGAATGTGGGCCCAGGGGCTTCAAATTGGTTGACTTTCTTCAGGTAATAAAACCAGGGATTTCTGTGCTTAATATAGAAGTCCTTGAGTACATTACTTTTTCTGCAGAAATGATGTAAATGAAACAAATTATTTTACATTTCTGATTTTTTTTTCATTTTTTTTTTTGGGGGGGGGGTGTCTTTTCAGGACTTGCAATAAAACATTTCAAACTTGTGACATCACCATATTATATCACCAAAACATGCAATCCATATTTGTTGAATACAGACGGAAATGATAAGGAAAAAACCCTAATGAGCAGCATCTCTACTATTGAGGAATAATATTGAAGTTGAGAATAGACACGACAAAAAAAACATCAGTTGAAATCTTTTATTGAATCATGTCACTCTAGTCACTCATTCCACAAAAAAAACCCCATTCAATATCCTAGTTACAAATTGACTCAATCGGGTTCGACATTTTAGAAAAAGGATAAAATACACTCGCATGGTTTTCTTGCACAGCAAATTACCCAAATCCTTAACGACAATCTTTGATTAGTTACACAGAATTAAATAATACATAAACTAGGTTCCAATCTGTTCAAATTATTTAATGGTGAAAAAAAATAATAAGCCTACAGGCTAATTCATACTTCACGTGGATGCAACTTTTGTGAAGGGGACACATCAAGCCAAAAACAAAATGACCACTGTTGCTATTTAAACCTGTAGTTTGTGTGCGATGTTGAAAAGCCGATGCATAAAGTATGGCCAAGCCTTGGAACAACAAACCAGTTACGTCACGCTTAAAAACATGATTGGTATAGAAATAATCCTGAATATGGATAAATACAGATTCACAGAGTCTGTTAGTAATACCACATTATGCCATTCTTTTCCTATTTTGTATTTAACGAACATCAGTGAATAGTTAAGTTGGTAGTTGAGCTATATGCCAAGTAAGTCCAGAGTGCTACAAACGTGTTTGATAAACCGAATGAAATACTAGTTTTATACAAAATACATTCAAGGGGTTGCATTGTTAATACAGCAAGGTACAGCAGTATCATTGTATAACAACTTAGTCTGGTGAAGTGCGCCATTATCTGACAAACTAAAACAATGGAATCAAAGCGTTAGCCTTACATGTACACTTTAGCAATTGGCATTTGAAAAGTGTAGCAAATGAGGCCAATGTTCGGTGAGCAACATTAAAACATGAACGAATACCATTGTAAGTTCTACTTCAAACTTGTGGGACTGTTGTTTTGCAAAAGCATGAACTCTTCCTGCAATACACATGTACATGCATTTAAGCTCTTTGCTGGTTGTTCCTAAAAAAAAAAACAATAGTAGCAACTTGCTACTATTGTTGTTTTTGTTTGTTTGTTTGTTTTTTTACATGTATCAACACAGATTTATACCTGTACAGATTAGAACACTTGATAACATATATCTCCACTTATTCCTAGTATAAGTTAGGGGGAATATTTACCAACTGTTAAAAAACCTTAAAACACTTCATTCTATTACATTCTACATGTGCTTTATTTTTTCTATTTTGTTTCATTTGGAAAACTCTGAGCCAAAAGGAATCTTGAGATCAAGAGGTAATTACAGATTTGTAATGTAGCTTGTGTTTTGTGCTCATATTGCAAAAGACAGAGTGTTACCCGTGCCACAATTTAAGAAGCTTTTTAAACTCTGGCAAGTGTAACTTCTCAAGATTCCCCCAAAGATGGTGATTTTATTAATGGCTTATTCAACATCCCTTTGTGTGAAGGGTGACGTTAGATCACAAGAGTGCCTTGACCTCATCGTAGAGCACCAGCACCAGAGCCCCGCCAGTACCACGCAGGACGTTGGAGAACGCCCCCTTGAAGAAGGCCCGTCCACCCTCATTCTGAGCAATCTTCCGCCAGCAGTCGATGGTGTTCTTGTACATGATATCCTTACGCCCAGACTGCATCATCATACGTCGACGGACCGTGTCGAAGGGGTAGGAGATGATACCGGAGCAAGTGGTCACCGTCTGGGCAACCATCCAAGAGATGATGATATTTCTCTGATATTTGGTCGGCAGCATGCCCTTGGCCGTGTCGTAGAAGCCAAAGTAAGCAGCTCGGTAGATGATGATGCCCTGAACAGAGACGGCGAAGCCACGGTACAGACCCAATATGCCATCAGACTTGAAGATGGAGGACAGACAGTTGCCCAGACCTTTGAATTCACGCTCGGCTAAACCTTTGCCCACGTCGGCAGCCAGACGTGTACGGGCGAAGTCCAACGGGTAGACAAAGCACAGGGAGGTGGCACCAGCGGCACCACCAGACGCCAGGTTGCCGGCAAAATATCTCAAGAATTGCTTCTTCTTGTCGACTCCATCCAGGAAAACTCTCTTGTACTTATCCTTGAAGGCAAAGTTGAGCGCCTGCGTCGGGAAGTAACGGATGACGTTGGCCAGATTACCACGCCATAATGAGAAGAAGCCTTGCTCTTTGGTGACACGAGAGAAGCAGTTGACGATACCAGTGTACTGGTCTTTGACAGCTATTTGTCTGGATGCTGCTTGGACCTGCGGCAAAAAAACGGTAAAAGAAAAAAAATGGGATTAAACAAATGACATGAGGTTTTTTACTTTGTGTAGAACATTTACTGCATGGGCCTCATTGCAGGCAATAACTTTGCCATTTCAAAAGTGACCATTTTAAGTATGAAAAAAAAATCATTTTTGGGGGGTGGGGGTCTAGTCCCAGTAATAAGGATCCTGGGGTTCACTGCTCATCAGAGCAAAAACTTCTTGAAAAAAAAAAAAGGGTCGTCTTTCAGTGCAGTTCAAATTTATAGCACCTTACTTATTGGCTTTTCCTTTTCGACAACCTCTGTGCATTTGCTACACCCCAACTATACTGTCAGTCCCAATTTAATTTGGGACGATCTCAACTAAAGCGTTCCAGCTGGGCAGGCCCAACAGTGGGAGTAAAAAATTACTACTCCATGTTTCCATGTGGTACATTACAGAGGGCTTGCATTTACGCACAATGCATGATGCCATGTGGACACAGTGCAGGGAAAGTTGTGTGTAGTTCTTTCTTTGTGTTTTTGCAACATAGTGGAATGGCACATGGATGCATTGTTTATGAATTCTTCTGTGAAAACTACGCTGTTTCCTTGACAGCTATAGTTGGACCAGCCCAACAAAGGGAAATGGTAAAGGGAAGACAAGAGATTAAAGATTACGATTTTCGTAAGCGGTTTACGGTTGGTGCCGTAGGATTCAGCGCGCCTATACAGTAAACTCCGGCTAAACCGACATCGTATAAGCCTTCATATCGCTTAAATCGGCTGTGTGACGAAAGTCCCGATTGTCTCTAATGCATTTCCATTGACATTTTCATTTCTAAGTCGGCATTTGTAAGCCACCATTTTGCCTATGTCGGCGTGTTACTTTCAGTCCCATTTCCTCAAAACCACACAAATTCCTCTGTATAAGTCGGCATCGTGCTCTGCGGTTTGCAAGAAGTGTTGAGCAAAAAGGGCAAGATTACCATATGCGAAGTTCACTAATTTTCCTCTGTATTGACTAACAAGTCCCCAGATAGCAATTTCATGTCATCAAAGTCAATTTGAGCAGTGAGAAAATACAAGCATTTTCTTAGAAAACACTTAGAATTTTTCAGTTCAATCTCATAGGGTTTGTACACAGGGTGTTGAGTAAACTTCGTATATGGAAATCTTTCCGTGAAAAGTCCCACACACTGCTAACTGACATCTGTTTATCAATGGCACGGCCCGTGATTGATGCATCGGCCAGCACGTGTACACTAATCACACGTGTACACTGTTTCATAATGCACAGTCTGTACATTGTGTGCATCGTTCGCTTAAACGAAGTACATGTCCATTCTGTAAAAGAAAATGGCATCCAAAACCTTTTGACATGTATTATCTTCACTGATCTTCCCATTCATAATGTAACTTTGAAATGTTTGTGAACGTGAAGCTTAAATTGCTGGTGCTGTCAAACTTTGCCCCACACAAAACCCAACACGAAACAAATAAAGTTTTCTGTGTAATTTCAGAAGTTGTTGATCAATTAAGCATGCTCACAATTACAATTTACAAATAAGCATGATATTAAAGCCAAGGCATTAAATGAAAATGACAAGCAAATGAAAATGACAAGCGAAGGAAAATTGTAAGGTGAAGACTTTTGGCGCTTGAAAATTAATTGAATAAAACTGGTGATCCAGTACGGATTTTTTTCCCAGACAAGGATTAGGGCTTAACAATCGATAAAGAAGCCACGCCGCCGCCGGCAATCACTGAACAGAAGTGATTACGCAACATTCATGACCTTCCATCATTTGACGCCTCTCCACTCTCGTCTCCAGTCATTGCCAGTGGCTGCCAGGGAAACACCCAAAAAAACTTAAGTTCAAACGTCTAGGAAATTAATTATGAACATGGCAATTTTACGGATTAGGGAAGGATAGACTGGGTAGGGACATTTCAATGAATTCAGTGGTTTGATGTCCCGGACGTGAACACTACACGTTACACTGCCTACGTACGTACTGTGCACGCGTACACGCGGATGACCCACGCAGCCATGTGATCGATTTTTAGCCGGCATGATGCATGTTGAGCCAAATTTGGACGCCCAAAAACCCAACAATTACCCCACCACTGAGCGAAATCTCACCTGCAAAAGCAACTTGACTCTCTCGATAGGCGCTACGGCGGTCTTGGAGATCGCGGCGGAGATTCCTCCGGCGGCAAGATCCTTAGCGAAGGAGACGACAACTTCTCGGTCGATCTTCATGATGGCTAGCGTGCGCGTAGAGACCGGTACCGAGAAATTCGCCGGTAAAAATGGCAGCAGTTTCTCGTGACGTCACCGGCGAGCCTTATTACACACACTCGGCGGATAACATCCGCAACAAATAGTTCCGAATACTCAATGAATCAAATTTCGTATCGTAGGTTTTCCCACTTATATCATATTCTTATAAAGATTTAAATTGCACATTTGTTTATCATTTCACAATTTGAACAAAATTAATCTGTACTGGGATAAAATTCAATAACAATCTTGGCTCATGAATAACTTTTCTTTCGGTGAAAGGGCAATTTGATGTCACGTGACTGTGACGTTTTCTGATCGGAGAGGAATTTCCCTCCGCAAAGATCGTCCTATTTTCAAATAGGGGTGGCAACTTGATATCAAATTGAATTAAAATTATACAGATGATTTTTCTTTTCCAATTTACCTTTGAAATAAAACAATTAATCTAACAATTGAATTTGTGAATCAAAAATAAATTTCATGAAATTCAACTTACCTCTACATTTTCAAATTGTAACACATTCACACCTTTTTTGGAAATGAAGAAGTCGATTAATCAATTATCCTGCAGGTTCAGGATCTTTTGGAGGTGAACCTGCGGGCACGTGCAGGGATGACGGATATTCGTGATATTCTCATTCATGCCACGGAAATTACTCATTTTGAGTATTGTGAAGGGGTTAATTGGGTTTTAACAAGTGCGCCCGCTCCTAATTTCAAAAAGAGGATTTCCATTCCTCCATGGTCTGCAGATCCACCCTAAACCCATCTCCCGCCAAAACTACAGCCAGTGACTCTAGGCTGATCGCGTTTCCATGGTTACTGTAACAGAGGATAAACTGAAATACTCATCTGCGGTATTTATCAACAATTTAACCCAAAAAACGGATAAATCCCCCCTTCAGATCCTTGTCAAAACATTCTGCAAATTTACGGGGCAAAGCGGACTTGATATGGCACACGGCGGGGGTTTAAGGTAACGTTTTACATGTATATTTGATGGTGATAGTTTTATTATGGTTTTATGAAGATCTAGGGGGGGGAGGTGTCCATTCACAAGGATCAATTAAAACCTTTACAACTGTGCCATAGTAGTAATATATTGTATAGTCATATCTTATTCGGTATGTCCGTCTATAGATGAGGAATCTGATCTGATCGGTTTTGAATACAATGGAAGCGTCTTAATTGGTTAAAGATAGCTCGCTCCGTGATCTTCTATCTTCCCTATTTCCACATTCTCTCCATCCAAAGAGCTTGTTTTATGTCTACTTTTCGCGTGGCAAAAACACTTCTTTTTGCGACCACGACCCAAAAAAATGTATAATGCTTTGGTTGAGGTTTGCACACAAAATCGTCAACCATCGCTTAATTTTTCGTTCCATGCCTCAAGTCACAACTAAATAGCTGTTTCACAGTGCTTGAGAAGGCCAAGGAGCAATTTAAAAAGGGGGCTATATTTACCGATGCGAAACTCGGTCCCATGCTCTCCCGTGCACTGTATTCTCGAATTTAGTCCCGAAAAATAAAATTTTATAATAATTCGGCAGGATCTTTTTGTGCGGTTGAGGCTCAAAGGCCCCCCCCAAAAAAAAAAGCCCGGAAAAATATTCCTTTTTTGTGTGTTAAATTTAAACGTACAAATAGAAAATTTTAGTCGAATTTGTAAATTAAGAGCGCGGGGAAACAACTTTTTCAAAGTTATAATCGCCACATCTTGTTACCGACAATCAGCCTCAAATGATGTTCATCTAAATAATAGGTCATCAATTATTATTGCCGATTTATTTTTATTTTCGTGAACTTCTTGGGTTGATCGATTATAAGTGAGAACCGTAAGCAGTTACTGGCGTTGCAATCGAGGTTGCATGTAAACTTTTATATAAACACCGCAACAACAACAAAAAGTCACACTCATTGTAGGGGTAATAATTTTGAATCTGATCGTCTTATGATGACGTCATTTATATACGTGTAAACCTTTGGGGAATATTGTTAGCTACATTTTGGTACCTGTACCCCGTTTGCTACCACTGTAAATAGTCCAAGATTGACAACGGTTTATGAAAAAAAAATTATGCAGTTTGAAAAGTTGCAAATTTAAAGATTACGCGAAGAGAATGCTCGAACAAAGTGAGGGTAATTCAATTTCGCGTGCTCCCATGCATGCAATAAGCACTGTGCAATCGATATTCCCTGCACTTCGTTTCGGGCGGTGTAACAACGTCACGCAGCAACTTCACTCGCGTACTCTTGAAATGTGCAACTTTTCCAACTCCATCATTTTTCATAAACCGTAGTCAACGTTGGTTTTAAAATTAAGCAGTCAACTATCAATTTAAGTTTCAATATTATGAAATAAATACAGAAAGATAACGAAAACCCACTAAAGTTTGTTTTAATTACTGATTAGGCCCCCCAAAAAAGTCTCCGGTTTCTGGTATGCGCGCGCGTCGCCGTAGCCATGCGCGTCGGCAAAATGAAAGAGTTTTTTTTTTCAATAAAAGATGATGTCTCAAAACCGCCAAACTCACTGGTTTGACTGGAATCCTGCTGCTGCACAATTTTAACGTGTTTTTAGATGGAGTTATGATCGAGAATAAGCTTTATGTGGCCTCTCTGGACTCCCATATATTTGCACTAAGTTTAGTCCGGCACCATTTGCAGTCATCAGCCGACATTTGAAGCAAAAAAAACAGGGGGAAAAAAAAGCCGCGTCGCCGCACCACTTTTTGGGCAAGCTCCATACCAGAAACCGGACACTTTTTTTTTGGCCTTAGTTAACCTTGGTGTAAATCTAGGATCAAAAGACAGCTCTTCCAGTGGTCAAGAATAATGGTAAAAAACCTCTATCGTTGGAATTCTTAGAGCACAGGGTTTTTATAAAATCTTGGAACAACATAACATTTTATGACAGCAATAAATGACAAGGAGACCACTTTTTAATGAATAAACTAATTGAAGAATGGCAATGAGGTTCCTTGGGATTGAATTTGTGAAACTTTTTTTTTGGGGGGGGGGGAGGTTCAGTTCATAAGTCCAGTGAAAACATTACACCTGGATTCGAATATACCCTTAGTTTATCTGCTAAAATTATCTGGCTATGGCTAGCCTTAAGATAGAGTAACATGATTTAGCCACTTTAGAAATAGCCAAGTAACTCGGATGCAGACTAAAGCAATTTGTGTCAACACTATTTTCCTAGTGATCTAGACACCCATACAATTCCCCATGTATTACCTTACACGGAAAAAGCTGTGTGGCGAGAGGCCATTGGATAAAACTTGTATCTGGTCTGATAAGGTTCTGCATTAGAAATCTAAAAAAAAAAAAAAATAACTGAAAAATCAACAATCTTATCTGCAATTCGTAGGGAAAAAAGAATGACTGAGACTTATGTGGGTATATTGTGAGATATGGTTTTCAAAAACGAAATATATTTGAACAGGGAAAGTGGGATTTTGGTAAAACAAGTGCAATCATGTAGTGAGCCTCTTCTAATAATTCACCACTTACACATCCAAGCTTATCCAAGTCACTTGACATGTCGAGGTCACTTAGGAGATGGCTGTAAAACTATTTCATACAAAGATTTACCCTGCAACAATGATATAATTAACATTGTAAAGCCCAGTGCTTCTGAGAGCCAATGCAAAAAAAAATCAGTTATCATTTGTTGAAAGCACAAAGCTAATCATTGTTGATAATATTTTACATCCACCCAATAAACACTTTAATCGCTTTCAGTTCAAAAGTCACCCTTTTCAGTTCAGTTATGACAAAACACTATTTAAAAAAGTGTCTGGTTTAAGAAGGTAGGCCACAGGCCCAAAGTCAGGCATGCAACTGGGAAGAAATCCCCCCCCCCAAAAAAAAAAAAAAATTAAAGAAGGAAATTCCAAACTTTACAAGAATTTATACATTTTTTTTTCAATTTCTAATGGCATAAGTCGTCGCGTCAGTGCAACAAGGTCGTAACTCCAATCTGCAACAAAGTCGTATTGCGCGCGAATACTCTCCGTGCAACAAGGTCGAATCTTGACGTTCATTGACTTTGTGTGTACATTCGGGTTATTTTAATTGAGATACAACCTTGTTGCACGGACACGATGCAGTGTAAATTGAAAAACGAGGGAAACAGCTGATGCGAGGAAAAATTGCATGCCTGCAAATTCTGACTACTAATATTAAATATAAAAGTCTCATTTATGTTCACTTTCATAATCTCTATCATTACTTCCGTGACCGTGCCTGTCCCTATGTATCTGTCACCATCCCTATTTCTTTTTCCTCTTTCTGTCACAGTGTGTCTTGCCATCTTTGCCATGCTGTATTTCGTCCGCATGCGTTGAGGATTGTTGCGATTTGCAGAACCAACCCTATAATGTGGTCCCCCGAGTAGCAATAGAGTACATGTAGTTGCCATCTGCAATAGCACCCTCTGGAGGCAAGTTCCTCTCGAGGTAGGTATCACTGTAGGTGTCACCCCATTCCCACCCTGTTTGGCTGGGTTATTGTCACTGTCTGTCTAATCAGCTTTCGCCGCCTCTTCGGGTTGGTTTCGCCCACCATCTGCGTCGCCATCAGCGTCGCTACTTTCGACACCCGGAGGTCTTAACTCGCTGGCACTGGGCCACGGTTTGTCACCGTTTGTACCAGTCCGTGTGCCACCCTCTCTGCTGTCACTTTTGTCATCGTCCCTGCCTAGGGTAGCGGTACTGTCAGAAGGGATCTCGATGTCACACATGCGCAGGATGTGTTGGCGTTCTCCCTTGGGGATGTAGGACCGGACTGAGGCCTTGCCACGCCAGCCAACGAGAACCAAAGACATATCGTTGGATTCAGGATCTCTGAAAAAAAATATTGAAACCAAATTATAGAGATAAATTCAGTTTTATAAAAATGCAAAGGATGAAAGATAAGAAAAGCAAAGGCAGAGGAGCTGAGGTCAAATAAAATGACCAAAGGCCAAAAGCAGTAAAGTGATCATGTGAGGCGTTCTGGCCAAATAAGACAGAACTGGGCAGAAGTCAAAATTTTAAATATTGTGTGATGTTATTTCAGGAACCTTAAGGAAATATGAGATTTTTCTGGAGGTATATAAAAAATAGACAAGGATGGTTAAACCAACTGCCCAATGAAAACCACCATCAAAGTACATAAACAGATATTACTCATTATGATTTTCTTTTCACACTGACTATAACTCCCTCCTTCCCTTGTACCCTCAACTGGGAAAATCATTTAACCTTATGCGTTGCAGGTACCTGATGGTGTTCTTTGTTATTTCAATAAAGTAACAATTAATGCACACAAGATTTGATCATGCATATCCAAAGATACAGCCCATTGCTCTCTAAATGCTTTATAAAAAAGGTTTAAAAAAAATGTAATGTACATTTCTTAATGCAATCCTTGTAAATGCACCTTTGTGTCCCATCTAACCTCATTTTAAATTTCCATTTTACCACTTTTAAGGGCATTTTAAAGCCTTTTTTTGGTTTTACGCTCATGAAAATGTGCATATTCATGACCACAAGTGTGATGTCATTTTAGACAAGGACCCCAATGTAACTGCTGCTCCAGCACCGAATTTTGCCAGGATTTTGAAATTTTGCCGTCGTAAATTTACTTTTCTTTGGTGATTCGATATTGCTTCAATACCTGACAGTAGGCCAATGAAATGAGCAAAGTTTTCTCAACAATATTTTCCAGGACAGTGTCTTCCTGAAATGACATCACAGCAACAGCACCCTCAGTTGTCCGGAAAGCATGGACATTTCGTCAATTTTAAACAAGTGCACGGGGACAAAGCACTTTTCAATAAAATTAACCAAAATGTATGTCAAATAGTTTTCATACATTTAAGAGTAGAAAGTTGCACAAAATGTGTTCTGAAGACAAATTTGACAGCAATGGGCAAGGTAGTGGGCTATTCATCCAGCATTATGTAATGCTTGTGACAGAACTTTTAAGAGGCAGTGAATAAACCTGAAAATGTCTTTTTCAAAATACTATCCATCCATTATCTAGTAATGGTCAAAAAGATTACGGACTAAGAGTTTTCGATCATTTCTCCGAATCATTTATTAGATATTCTGGTTAATTGGCTGTGCCATAGATAACACCTCCTTTCATAATACTGAAATCGCCCTACTACACAAAGACAATGGTTAGCTATCATGTGCTTCACATGTGGGAATAATCAAACACGACAAGCACACATACTTAGAGGGTGTCATCACAATGGATCAAAGAATGTGTATTTACTACTGTAGATGACCTTAGAACCCCAATCCATTCCTTATCACACTACAAACGTGATCAACAAATGGGAGCACAAGGTCAACTGTCAATGGAATGAGAAATACTGCTACGACGATAACAGAACACAATATGTGTTGGGTTTAGACTGCTTTTAAAGGGAATATACAACATTTGCGAACATCGAAAAACAAAACTAACACATTTTTACAAAATACCTTACTAGGATGTTGATAAATGACAGTCTAAAGCTTCCTGTAAAATTATGGCACCTGGTGTGAAGTCATTTTCAAGAAAAGTGGTATTTTGTATAAATTTCCAACAGTGGTCGGCCGACCACCGTTGGAAAAACCTAACTACTTTCCAACTTTTGTTCAAAATTTACCAATTTTTCAGTCCAAATTTTGTTCGCTATTGGTTTCATGTTCATGAACGGGTGCAGGCCAGCTAGACTGGTTCCCTTACCTTACAATTTTCCGGCATCTATAAATTGATCCATTTCATCTTTAGTGGAGTCAGGGAGCCAGACTACTTGAACATTTGTGTTTTTCTTGGTTTTTCCAGCATTTTTTGAACACAAAACTTCACACATGTCAGTGTAACAATATTTGATCTATTATACTAACCGCTCAAATAGTTCATTTCTGAAAATTACAGCAAAAGCCAATGATGTACATTCCCTTTAAGCTAGAGTCAGAAATGACAACAAATACTTTAAGAGGTGACGTGCGGTCAAATATCAAATTGTGAAAATTATTTTACAAATACTGTCGGCATGTACTGCATTTCAGTTCACTTTTTGTGGAGGTTTGGCACAGTATAAACTTTCCACAAAGGAAGTTAGAGTTCTCATTTAAAAAAAATTAGAATAGTGAAATTGAAGAATTGCATGTCTGATACTGCATAAAAAAAAAAAAATTCTTACCATTCTTGAACCTGTGAAATTCCAGGTTGTTTTTTTGGGGGGGGGGGAGGGGGGTAAGGAACGGGTACTCACCTCTGTTTTGGATCATAGACAAACATCAAACTGCCTTGGCCTGTGAAAATATTGACAACAAAACAAAACAACTGATTAAGTGCAAAATATTAATTGACATATGAAATGAGAATCTTCCCTTGTGACCATGTGATTGACTTGTGATTGACATAATTGTGATGGCCTTGTGATGAACTTGTGACAGACTTGTGATGGACTTGTGATGAACTTGTGATAGACTTGTGATTGACTTGTGATTGACTTGTGACTGACTTGTGATGAACTTGTGATGGACTTGTGATGAACTTGTGATGAACTTGTGATGGACTTGCGATAGACTTGTGATGGACTTGTGATAGACTTGTGATTGACTTGTGATTGACTTGTGACTGACTTGTGATGAACTTGTGATGAACTTGTGATGAACTTGTGATGAACTTGTGATGGACTTGTGATGGACTTGTGATGGACTTGTGATAGACTTGTGATGGACTTGTGATAGACTTGTGATGAACTTGTGATTGACTTGTGATTGACTTGTGATTGACTTGTGACTGACTTGTGATAAAGTTGTGACTGATTTGTGATTGACTTGTGACTGACCTGTGATTTGACTGGCGACTGACTTGTGATTGATTTGTGATTGACTTGTGATATGCTTGTACAGCAGGGAGCCAGAACCACTAGCCGACTAATGGTTCTCATCCGAACTTGCTCTTGAGTTACAACATAAGAATGGCAATTTTTATTCTCTTACAAGCCTTGTTAGCTGCATCTCTCGCTTCTTGATCTAGCTTAGAGCAGAAAGGATTCTCCTGGGAGAGTAGTGTTCGGACGTCATCCTTGGTAAGGTTGTTGATCTTACGAGCCGCAGATAGATAGGGGAATATACTGTGGATGCCCTGTAGAATAAAGCAAAACATTACAATAGTCAAAAATCATTGTTGTCATGGAGTCCCTCAGAGGTCCTGGCAAGTCTGTATGTGCCCTCACAAGTCTCCAAAAGTCCTGGCAAGTCTGTATGTGCCCTCACAAGTCTCCAAAAGTCCTCCCAAGTCTGTATGTGCCCTCACAAGTCTCCAAAAGTCCTCCCAAGTCTGTATGTGCCCTCACAAGTCTCCCAAAGTCCTGGCAAGTCTGTATGTGCCCTCACAAGTCTCCAAAGTCCTCGCAAGTCTGTATGTGCCTTCACAAGTCTCCAAAAGTCCTCACAAGTCTGTTTGTGCCCTCACAAGTCTCCAAAAGTCCTCACAAGTCTGTATGTGCCCTCACAGGTCTCCAAAAGTCCTCACAAGTCTGTATGTGCCTTCACAAGTCTCCAAAAATCCTCACAAGTTTGTATGTGCCCTCACAAGTCTCCAAAAGTCCTCACAAGTCCGTATGTGCCCTCACAAGTCTCCAAAAGTCCTCACAAGTCTGTTTGTGCCCTCACAAGTCTCCAAAAGTCCTCACAAGTCTGTATGTGCCCTCACAAGTCTCCAAAAGTCCTGGCAAGTCTGTATGTGCCCTCACAAGTCTCCAAAAGTCCTGGCAAGTCCGTATGTGCCCTCACAAGTCTCCAAAAGTCCTCACAAGTCTGTATGTGCCCTCACAAGTCTCCAACAGTCCTCACAAGTCTGTATGTGCCCTCACAAGTCTCCAAAAGTCCTCACAAGTCTGTATGTGCCCTCACAAGTTTCTAAAAGTCCTCACAAGTCCGTATGTGCCCTCACAAGTCTCCAAAAGTCCTCACAAGTCTGTATGTGCCCGCACAAGTCTCCAAAAGTCCTGGCAAGTCTGTATGCGCCCTCAGAAGTCTCCAAAAGTCCTCACAAGTCTGTATGTGCCCTCACAAGTCTCCAAAAGTCCTCACAAGTCCATCACAAGTCCATCACAAGTCCTCCAGTTCCAAGTGAAGTACAGCAGTATTTAAATGAAGTACGACACAGGCATTCCTTTGTCATTGTTATTTCCTTGTTACTCGTGACTAGACACAGATCAAAAATAAAATTAAAAATATTCGGTCCATTTTCTAAAAATCACTGGCCCTTCTGAATAGCTAGGATGAATGCATTTTCAGGATGACAAACAGAACCTAGAAACCCGACGTACAGTCAACTGTTATCTGAGACTTGTAGGTTTGCATGGTGGACATGAACAAAGCATGGAAGGTTTGCAGTGGCACCATGTGAATATTGTCTCTTTTGAGTTGTGTGGTTCTGAGAAGAACCAGTTGTTTTAACTCGACGTTTCGAACAATGTGCTCTGTTTTCGTCATCAGAGTCTCCTGATATATTCACATGGGTGTTACCGCACACCTTCCAAACTGTTATCTGTGATGATTAAATTATTACCATTTATGTTTGTATTTTAATCATTCCTATATCTTACTTCCTGGGCTAATCTGAAGTCACATGGCACGTCCTTGGCATCACTACGGCTCCATACTTTCACTCCGCAGTTGATAACCTAAGAAAAACACAACCAAACAACCAAGTTTGCAATGAACAGATAACATAAGCACGTCATTCAAGGTACAATGATCATTTGCTCTTTGGGCATGTTGATTTCAATCGAAGCAACAAAATTGCTCAAAATCTGAAGCACAGTGTAGGGTGCATAACACCTAATCTGATGAACTTATAGCTAGGTACATTTTGAGAAAACATTCAAACAAGTCCTTCAAATAGCACTGACAAAGAAATCCCTCATAAAAACAGTAAAATACAGGAAGACAAACTACTTTGGACACATGATGAGAAACCAAATGCTGCAGAAGACTCTTTTGGAAGGCAAAATAGAGGGGAAAAGACCAAGAGGAAGAAGAAGAACATCGTGGTTTGATGATGTGAGAGACTGGACTGGCCTTAGCTACATGGAATGTGCGAGGGCATCTCAGGACAGAGACAGATGGAAATCCATTGCAGCCAACCTTCAGAGAAGACGGCACCTGATTGATTGATTCAATATTGAGTTTTGCCCTTCATCGGCGTATTTTTATAAACACTGTATACTCAGATTTTGCTGAACTTAGGAGCATAAACACCTTCACTTTCTTTGGGTTTTTAGGAGTCTAAATAAGACTAGAGAAAATGTCTCATTGAGGGGTTTGAACAACTTTCCTTTTTTTCTGGGGGGGGGGAGGAGGGTGGGGTGGGGTGTGGTGGAGGTTTGGGGATAGGGGTTTGGGATAGAGGTCAGGGTGGGGTTGGAGATTAGGGGTAGGGACTTTTATCTGCAAGACTTAAACCATATCTGAATGCTTCTTTTTCTACGCTCTGTTTGTTTCTCTGTAATCATGGACAAATATGACAGATTTGGTCAAAGCTTTATATGTTGCCCAACGTGAAAGGATTTATAAGATTGGTGGTAAGTTATGAGTCACAAGATTTGGGTTTTATTCCGCTTCTTTTGGGAGGACTGACAATGGTACTGAAGCTGTAAAACTGAGCTACTTCATTTCTTAACCAATTAGACACAGCCTTCCACCCCAAACCACACTGGAATAGTCTAGATGACTTCTTAAAATCATTACCCTCCTTCTCTGTTAAAAACCTAAGATCACATCTACTCAATTCTTACTCGAACAACTAGTTATAATTTATGAATCTAGATGATTATGCTCTCGTATCATACCAGTTTGTGGGTTTTTTTTCTACGTTTGTTCGAATAACTAGTTATAATTTATGAATCTAGATGATTATGCCCTCGTCTCATACCAGTTACTATTTTTCTAGGTTGTGTCTTTGTGTGTCTCACTGTTGTCCATTTTGTCCTTTCTCACTGTCTCTGTTTTTCTCGGTCATGTCCACTTGTCTGTTGATAGGTTAGGGTACAAAAGCATGACGCTTCACCTTATACCTAAATGTTGTCGTAAATTGTTTTAGTATTGATCCATGTACATTATTATACACAATTACATAATTCATTGCATTTTGCTCTGTATAATATGTTTACACGGCATTGTAACATTTTATTATGTGGAAATGGCAACATTGGAATAAATGTTTCTATTACTACACTCGATGCATCAGAAGTTTACACCTTTATTCCCAACCCTCTCACAAAAACATCCATTCCCCCCCCCCCCCGACAATCAATAGCTTGAGCAGAAACCCGCTACCTTTATGCTGCCCTCATTGTTCTCAAGCATTGACTTGATGCCGTTATTGACGAGGTAGAGGTTGCGTTTCTTTCCGCCGTGACAGCGCGTCAGCAGCTGGGTGAGCGGGAACTTGTCGTCCACTTCATAGAATTCACTACATGGACAAATGAAGAAGTTTATGTCACACACACAGATTTCTTGACGCTTGTTTGTGAACAGTATTGGCTTAAGCTACTAAAAGTCTTGTAGTTTGAGTCCAACACAAGTTCATCACGAGTCCAATCTTAAGTCCATCACAAGTCCATTCACAAGTCCATTCACACGTAAATCACAAGTCCATCACAAGTCCAGTCACAAGTCCATCACAAGTCCATCACAAGTCCATCACAAGTCCATCACAAGTCCATCACAAGTCCAATCTCAAGTCCATCACAAGTCCAATCTCAAGTCCAGTCACAAGTAAATCACAAGTCTATTCACAAGTCCAGTCTCAAGTAAATCACAAGCCATTCACAAGTCGAGTCACAAGCAACAGGGGATGAAACAGTAACAAAGGAATGCCTTTGTCGCAGGTCCTTTGAGTAACTTGTGACAGGAGATGGAACTGAGCGACTTGTGATGGAATTGTGAGAACTTGCAGAGTTTTTGTGATGGAGTCGACTAGAACTGTCTTATATTTTTATATTTTAATTGTCTTGTGCCTGAGAAATTATCTAATAAATAAATAAATAAATAAACACTGGACGCTAGTGATCGCCAGTGAATCCCTGCGCATTGGCAATGCGTGCTGTTTTTCCCAGAGCCGTATATAGAGAGTTTTTTGTAAGGCGGCAGAACGCTTTGCCCCAATCTACAACAAATTAGCTCAAGTTTTCTACTGACACTCGTTCAAATGGGCCATGTTTTGTCGACCGTGACCTTGAAAAACGAACTCTCCGGGCAAACTCTTGGTGGCACCCTGCATTTTGAATCGCCCGAATTAGACACAGTCTTCCACCCTAAACCACACTCGATGCATCAGAAGTTGACAGCTTTATTCCCAATCCTTTCACAAAAAGATCCATTTTCCCCGACAATCAATAGCTTGAGCAGAAAACAAAACAAATGCTACCTTTATGCTGCCCTCATTGTTCATTCACACGTAAATCACAAGACCATCACAAGTCCATCACAAGTCCAATCTCAAGTCCATCACAAGTCCAATCACAAGTCCAATCTCAAGTCCATCACAAGTAAATCACAAGTCCATCACAAGTCCATCACAAGTCCATTCACATGTCCATCACAAGTCCAATCTCAAGCCATTCACAAGTCGAGTCACAAGCAACAGGGGATGAAACAGTAACAAAGGAATGCCTTTGTCGCAGGTCCTTTGAGTAACTTGTGACAGGAGATGGAACTGAGCGACTTGTGATGGACTTGCGAGAACTTGCAGAGTTTTGTGATGGAGTCGACTAGAACTGTCTTATATTTTAATATTTTAATTGTCTCGTGCCTGAGAAATTATCTAATAAATAAATAAATAAATAAACACTGGACGCTAGTGATCGCCAGTGAATCCCTGGGCGTTGGCAATGCATGCTGTTTTTCCCAGAGCCGTATATAGAGAGAGTTGCGACAACTTCAGACTGTTGAACCATAATGGCCGTTCATTACGTGTACAGTGCAACGTGCGACTATTGTGTGCGAATTATATATGTGCACTGATGCATAATCCGCCATTTAGGAGTCTACGTTTTTCTAAGCTTCCGAAGGGAACCAATCTGCAACCCGAAATGTGGATCGCATGCAGCACCAATCACCCAATCCAGCGTAGATCCACAGATCGTGCCCAACAGCGATCTCAAGTTAAATTGCCCACGTTTCACTGTCTTCACTTTTGACATGAAAGACTGGAGTTTAAATCTTTAGCAGCAATCAGAAACGCCACAAAAAAGAAAGTCCATTCTCATTGGAGGGGTCATACTATTGAATCTGATTGTCTCATGATGAAGTCATTTACAATGTACATAGACCTTTGGAGAAGTTTGTTAGCTACATTTTGATACCTCGTTTGCTACCACAGACTATAAACCATCCAAGATTGACAACGGTTCATGAAAAATGATGCAGTTTGAAAAGTTGCCAAAATAAAGAGTATGCAAGTGGAAATTGTACGCAATTGATAAGTTGGTGGATTGAATTGTTAAACATCTCCAAACATTTGTCACAAATGATGACTGAAAAATGTGTTGAATAAAAAATGAATATCAATTGACAGGCACCTAAAGCGGGCAAAAAGACAGGGGTTGCACAAAACTGTCAAAGTCAAGGCTCAGGATTTGCCGATATTTTTCCTTTACAGCAGGAGCCAACTACAGGGAGCTGCTAAGCACAGAACATTTCTTGCTTAGCAACAACAGGGTACCAGCCAAAATGCCATGCCAAGTGTGCTACTTGAGACTGGTTCACCAGCTGATTTTTAGCTGAGCAAAATACTTTGTTAAGCTATATTTTGTGCTTAATAGCTCCATGAAATCAGACTCTGACCACTTACTTAATCTGAGGCCAAATCTGCTCGTCATCCTCCTTGAAGAAAACATAAGGATCCTCTTTGTAACCCTGGTACATCTTCCTCTTCTTTGGGGGCGACGGTCCCCTAAAGATGACAACCAAAAACATGAAAATGACCAAAACTGCTGCAATCTGCTTTCTGACCTGAAACATACGAGTCAAAACATTTCAGACGGCCTGACGTTGCGATCTTAACAAAATCTTCTTCAAAGGCAGAAACAAATCTTATTGATTTCCTTTTCGGTGTAGGGGGTTGTGACAATAGATGTTATAGGGATACTAACTTAGACATTTGAATCCAGCTGCTGGTCTTATGGCCATGGGCACGGCTTTTTACCCACTTTGCCTCTATCCACTCAGAGGTATAAAAGGTGTGCCTGGGAATAACCTATGATGGACTGGCATCCCATCCAGCATTGTCCAGGGAAAATAAAAATCTCCATCATGCCATGGAATACCCATTACTTACTCCTCATTATCCGCATTTGCATCATTCTCGTCTGGTTTATTCTCGGACGATTTCTCATTTTCTGGTGTCTCTGAAGGTTCCTCGGAAAATTCTGCATTCGTGGAGTCTGCATCTAAAGGTTCCTCTTTTCCCGGTTCCTCATCCACGAGTTCCTCCCTGGTCTCAGAAGGCTCCCCCGTGACTGCAATGGAGGCATCCGCACTAGCCTCTGCTCCAATGTTGGCTGTATGCAAATGAGTACAGCCCATTCAATTGTGAGGGCAAGGGATGATGTGAAGGGGCTTTTTAAAGTAGTTTTTTGATTGATACAAAGTCCCATGATCCTCCAATGGACCGACTGATTTGGTTCTAATACTCTGAACGGTGTCCACTCAGAAATTTTTCATACGCTCTGGACATTGATGAGTTTTAATATTACAAATACTCCATTCACATACCTTGGACGTGTTCCTCTCCGGCACGACTTTGCTTCATCCAAGGAAGATGCGCCACTTTCCTCAAGACAGCTACAAAGAAACCTCCGGTGTTTTGGTATTGGGGCAAGATTCGCACGCTGTAAGACAGTTACAATTATTACAGATGAAACTGTATCACACTTCAAATAGACACTATACTGGAACATTACAGGCAGGTTGGCGCAAAAGTGAACACCACTATGAAATTTCTCGTGTCATGGGAAGAATTTGCACAGCAGATTCGCAATAGCAGAACAAATTTCAACTCTGCTGAATTTCACCCACCAAATGTTTCACAATGTCAAATTTGCTTTCCAGCTGCATTCGCAACCACCCAGTTCCTTCACAATCCACCGGGACATTTTGAAAGATTTTGTTGCCTGATGAAAATTGCCAAGCATAGAAAGTGGGCAATAGGGCTTCTGAAGAGCGGTGGATTTGGGAGGGATTCAGGCAGCTAGGTGCTTGGCAAAAGCGCCAGGAGAATTAGAGTCAGTGGCATATAGTCGTGTTCCCTAACGTGGCGCACTTCGAAGCTTACCCAACTTTCCTCGTGTAGTGTTGCCAAACCTCTTTGTTGACAAACCTCAAATTCATGCAGTGAAATACTGGTACTTTTACCTTATTAATGCTTGCTATTTAACCTCTGTGAACAATGTCGGTTTCATAAAATTTAAGCCGAAAATAAAAAAAACGGTGGGCACAAATTGGCGGAGTGTTCCCTAACGTGGCGCACTTAAATAAATCTCGGAAAATTCCAAATTATCATTTAAGAATTTCTGTAAACTTGATCAATTCTGATAAATCATTATTATCTCTACTCACATACCCAGCCAGATGTTTGTCAGAAAATTATTTTCTTATTTTTCGGGGCATTTTCAAAGGGTTCACTTTGCACTTGAAAATAAAATCGGAAAATCACGCAAAAATAACTTTTTCTTTTAACTTTGTAGCGGGTAAATGAACTCGCGATTTATGAACGGGAGTGTTAAGAACTTGATGAAATTTCACTTTCTGTGAAATTTCAGTTAAAACTTTTGCTCTAGCTAGGCGCTACAGGCGAAAAATTAAAGTGCGCCACGTTAGGGGCCGCGCCACGTTAGGGTACATCAACAATAGTGATATCCCACCTAGACCTCACACAGCAGAGCAGAGGAAAAAACAAAACAAACAGAAGCGACGATAACCAACAGCAATGTAGTCTACATAATATTATTTATTATTTTAGGGACCTAAAATGCAGATATGTCCCAGTACACACACTATACATATCAAACTGAGTTCCTACCATCTGGTCAGATGTAAACTCTCTGCTTCTTCTTCTGAAGGCGGCCAGACAGTTGCTTTGTATTTTTGTTTCTTGTCCTCTGGAATGTCTTCCGGGCTTGCAAACACTTCCCCAGTTTCGCTGATCACCTGCAGCACAAAATCATGCATATTAAGATGATACCATGTAACCACAACAAAAATTTGATAGACTGAAACAAAGGCATATTGCCCTGGTGGGATTTAAACCTGAGCCACAGCGGTGCAGGAAAGGTGTATTAACCACCCCTACTCCATCAAAATCCATCCCCCATTTTGGTGGATTTCTGGGGACTTGGTCCAGAAGGCCTGGCGTGACTAAATATTGATGGAGTACGATGGACTTGGGCCTAATGGCCTGAAGCAGTGCTAGGGGTATCCGATTGATTTTGCCTAGCTTCCTGTACTGCTATTGTGATAAAAGCCATGTGTAGCAAGTCCATGTATCGTGTACAGTGTTGTACTGGAAGCACAGTGATTGATGGATTTTGATAGACTTGGTCCAGTTCCTAGGGAGTTAGGGTTAAGTATTGCCCTGAAACTGACTGCCTTGAATAGACCTGAGACACAAAGCCGTCAACCATTGTTTGCATGTGTGCTTTTCTAAGAGAGCTTGATGGCTCTCGCTCCCACCTAGCTCCCATAAGAATGTGCACATGCAAATGAAATATGACTTTGTTATGTCTTAGGGCTATCAAGAATGGAGTTCTAAAGTATGGCAATACGTAGAACAAACACAAGAAGCTTAAAATAAAGCTTGTACAAGCGAAAGTTCCCCCTCAACGGTTGCCAAAAGACAGTTGGGAGGGACCTCTGGCATCACAATGGCAGAGAAATGTGTACGCATTGGCGCCATCAGTCTACCGCTCATGTGAAGACGTTACAGATTTGTGTACATTGAATAACGATTTTATTCACGAGCGTGAACCACTGCACTTGAATTGTGCATACAGCGTGTCACTCTCGTAAGCAGTCAAAAAGCAGCATTTACTGTTCAATATAAAAGGGTTTTCAAAAAGTAACTTTGCCAGAGCAAAACTGCAGCGAAGTAGGGATTGTGCAGAGATTCTGTGGATCCTAAGAGAGGTATTACAAATCTTTTGGTTATCTGTACAAGTTGAGGTTTTTACCTTCCATGAGGTCAATCCAGGCGACCTTTGCAAGCCAGGCAGCTCATTAGATACATCAACCAGTTCAAGGGCACCTAAACAAAAATAATTACAAATATTATAGATACTTCTTTAAATTTTTTTTAAAATAAACCGAAAAAGTAAATGACTAGGTGTATCATAATTGTTTAGTTGAACAAAGAAATTGACTGGAGCCGGTGTTGCAATATGTAATTAGGGAACTATGTTGGTGCATGAACACCAAATGAGTAATGTAGCAACTCAGCTTTGAACGCTCATAACATGGCTGAATAAACCAAGTTCCTCAGGCTGAAATCAAATTGCCATGATAAAACTTCCGCCGGGTTTGAACCTACGACCTCTGGATTGTCGTTCCGGCACTCTACCAACCGAGCTCTCCGGCACTATGTTGGCAGATCCTCATTTTGTGTCAATGTCGCTGACAAAATGGGGCCAACGTAGGGCTGGATAGCTCAGTTGTTACAATGCCAGAAGTGTAATCTGGAGGTCGAAGGTTCACACCCCGCTCCAGTCAATTCCTTCGTTCAACTTTAACAAATTTTGAAAGGACATGAATGAATTGAAATGAGCCATTTAGATAAACCTCTCTGTAAAAAGCAAAGATGAAATAATCATGTTATCTCAAATAATGGAAATCAATGGTGATTACATATTAATCATGCACTGTAAATGTTCTTGGTTCTCCAAAACTTGAACAAATTTGTGTACGCTTTATTGACTTGTGACTGCGTCTTGGTTTATTTTGCTTAAGCACCAAAAAAAATTGTTGAGCAATCCCCCCTTAGGTGCTCCACGAAATCTAAACAATTTCAGTTGGAACAATTTGCATAAAATGTTGCAAAGGTAATGTGCACTGTTCTGACTGACCTTGGGCTTTTTGCAAGACGCTAGCGACCACGGCTTCGTTCTCAATCGGGTTGAACGAGCAGGTGGAGTAAACCATACGACCTCCGACCTCCAGCAGCTCAGCACCGCGCAGCAAGACCCGGTACTGCACACTGAACAGAGACGAAACTATACTAGTTTGACAAAAACTTCCTTCATCATAATAATTATCCATTTGGAAAAAAACCAAAAAGAATTCCCATATATGGACATACAGTGAAATCTCGATTAGTCAAAACCTGTTAAAGGGAATAAACAACATTTGCAAACATGGAAAAACAAAACTACAAATTTTTACGAGATTCCTTACTAGGATGTTGGTAAATGACAGTCTAAAGCATCCTGTAAAATTATGGCACCTGGTGTGAAGTCATTTTCAAGAAAAGTGGTATTTTTGTATAAATTTCCAATGGTGGTCGGCTGACCACCGTTGGAAAAACCTAATTATTTTCAACTGCTGCTCCAAATTTACCCTTTTTTCAGTCCAAATTTGGTTTGCTATTTGTTACATGTTCATGAACGGGTGCAGACCAGCTAGACTGGTTCCCTTACCTTAGAATTTTCTGGCATCTGTAAATTGATCCATTTCATCTTTAGTGGAGTCAGGGAACCAGACCACTTAAAATTTTTCTTTTTTCTAGACTTCAGGTTTTTTTTTCAAGTCTGTAATCTAGAATGTCCCTTAAAATGCTATAACAGTTTTAGACAATTCTTTTGCTTACAAACATTATTCATTTTGCAGAGGTGCATCAGTTCCAGAAATGCATAACCCTCACAACAATTCGTATTTTCTAGTTTCCTAGAAGAGTCCGTTTTTGACAGAATATAACACAATTCTAATTGAATTAGAACCACAGACTCCTTTAAACAACAACGTTTTGGGGACAGTCGACTCACATGTGAAGATTCAAACCACTATTAGGCGTCCACTTCTTCCATATCAAGAAATTCTTCCTCAAAGTCCCGTCACCACTGCAAAAAATACCACAAACTATTCTGAGTTGATGAAACATTGAAGGAAACATGTTTTGAATTTACAATAGGTGGGTCCGTTTTGCTACTTCGCTTTGCCTCATCTGCTTCACAGGGAGGCAGCTTCGCCTTCACGGGTGGGTCGCCCACTTTGTGGACGATCGCCCACTTTGTGGACGATCGCCCACTATGTGGACGATCGCCCACTTCGTGGTGATCAACTAGTGAATAATAAGCTTGTGAACACCCCCACGCACCCATACATATGGGTAGATATGGGGTACCACTACTGTCCACCTTTACTTCCCTACTATTGTTCTTTGTTTCTATTGAAATCTCAAATTACACAGCGTTGCACTTCTGGGGTTCTGAGATTTCTCAAGATCGACTTATGAGGCACCATTGTCCCTATTGTTACCCTTTGTTCCTGGTAACGTTTACATTTTTTTTAGACGGAGATTTCTTGGAATTGGGGACACTTGTCAAAATTGTTTTAAGATATTCCTTAACTACAGCATCTTCGTGATATATGGTAGATTTCTTGGAATTGGGGACACTTGTCAAAATTGTTTTAAGATATTCCTTAATTACAGCATCTTCGTGATATATGGTGAAAACGGCGATGAAAATAAAGCCAAAATTAAGAATTGGCGATGGTTTAAAGAAAGATGGTCAAAACTAGTTTGTCCACATGCAACTCTGTAAGATATGGTCACCACAATAGCACTGCACGTACAAAGAAGTGCAATCATTACAATTAAGTCTACATGACTGCCATAGACATAGACAAACTAGTTTTTGACCATTCTTCTGTAAATGGTCATTATTTCTTAACACGAGCTTCATTTTCAATGCCGTTTTCACCATATACGACCCAGCTCTTGTAGTTTAGGAATATCTTAGAACTTCAACATGTCTCTTCAATTCTAGGGAATCTGCCTCTGAAAAAGTGTAATTTTTTTGACCACCCTGTGTATGTCAGAATAATTTAGTCTGGGAACCAGACTACCTGTATAGCATCTCTCACCTGCAAGGCACATCGCACAGAATCCGGTCATATTTCATACTGGTCATCTTCGTGCCTTCTTTCTGCGGCACTCGGATCGTCGGGAAGACAGTAGCATCGTGATTGACGATCATACAGCAGGGGCTGTTGAGCCGCTTGGCTTGATGCACCATGATGTAGCAACGCTTGTTGTCGGCGTCGTTCGCTACCACAAAACCCTCTGGCGAGTAAAACAAAGCAATAACAAGTCACGGCAGGCCTAGTGAAGCTCGCCCCAGAGCACACAAATTTCTATTCCATTGATTCGGAATAGCTGAAAAGTTCGTAGAATAAGCTATAGTAATGGAAATGAAAAATCCACTTTAACCGTTTGTATGGAGACTGAACTTACTGCATTATATAATAATAATAATTTGGGAGGCTAATCATCCTTACTCGCAGCTGGTATGCTGACTTGGGAAGGACGCGGCTACAACGTGGTCGGGCCGCTGGCACGTAAAGGCGCCTATGGCTGCCGGCCACATCGCCCATATGTGACCACGGAGCACAGCCTGAGATCGAAAGTGTTTGATATTTCCGGAGGGAGGAAAACCGGAGGGCCCGGAGAAAAACCCTCGTGGCACAGGAGAGAACCAACGCACAACTCTACTCACATGTGATCCAAGGCCAGGATTCGAACCGTGGTCACCTTGGTGAGAGGCGAGCGCTTTACGCACAAGCCACCCATGCCACCCTTATGTTCTTATGAAAGAACATAAGTCTGGTTCCAGAATATTGCATATGTGGTTTAGATGCTTCATTACATACATGAATAGGCAAGCCTGTTCAAGCTGGTCCAATGTAAGTCAAAAGTGACAGCCAGTCCGTGAGATAGGTTACCATTCTAATTCACACGTGTCAGTCAGTAAGTCAGTGAGACAATCGGTCAGGAACAAGTTGTGCTTGTCCAAGACAAGAACCACATGCAATAAATGTACTGAAACAGAAATGTGTTTGAGACATAACAAATAAAAAATCAAATTATCAGAATTTACCAGATAGTAATGAGTTCTTGACCCATTAGCTTTAAAAAGGCACCACTATGGAATACAAATGCAGGTATATGCAAATAATCATAACCAAGTTGCGCTTTTTCCATAGATTTTGCACTAACATCAGAACATGGAATCTACTCTGCACAATGAATAGTGCTCTGATAATTTCATAAGCCTCAATGGTTTCGACAAGAACAAGAAGTCAAATTGTTGGCTAACCAGGCCATCCATAGACTTGCTCAGCGTGAACCAGTTCAATGAGTTGTGCTGTCTTGGAGCCTGGGGCTGCACACATGTCCAGCACTCTGTGGTGTGGTTTCACATCTAGTAGCAGCGGTGGGATCATGCTTACAGCCTCTTGCCGACTGATGTTACCCTGTTGATGCAAAATCAGGAAAAACAAATGAAAAAAAAAAGTCCTTGAATGGGAAGTATGTATGGCTGATTTCATGTTGCGATGAATATGGACTCTGGGCACAAGTATCCCCGTTGGAAGAAACCACCGGAACTGACTCTTGAATGAAAAGACGCTATGCATTTTTGCATATTCAGAATAAGACAAATTGTGCGTACTTCACACCACACAGGCGCGATCAAGTAGACAAACATGGTACGTCCCTCTCACTGGTAAGGCCCAAAAAAATACTTCTACTTCCGCTTGCATGGCATATGATAATAGGGTAGGTAGGTAGGGGAAACTTTTTTGTGGGCATTTTTTATTTGTGTACGATCACATGGAGGTGTCTGTGTGTAGTCAAGGGTAAAAGGTAGTAAGTCATGATTTTCAGGGCTTTTCCCTCATTTCCCCCCAAAACTCCAAAAATGTTGGAAGGGGCCGTCAAAATAGGGTAGGTAGGGTAACCAGAAGCTGAAATATTATTTTTGTTGGTCTAACCCTGTGAATAGTTACAAAGCGTCAGCTACATGTACTGTCAATACAAGGAAACCATAACCCTGTGCTGCAGTTCTTAAACTCACCAGTCGTGCTTTAGTGGATTAATTATTCTCAGTAACCAGCTAAGTCAATTTAGTGGAGTACCACCGTATCCTTGGCCCTACACCTACCTTTACAAACAGTTGAAGAACTTAAAAATTATGAGCTATATCTTGCATATGATTTCGCAAACTAAAGCTTAAATGCATAGTCTCCACTCTCTAAATGTACAAGAGTAGGGCTAAGAAAAGTTTAGAACTTACGCTCTCTGTTTCAGTGACCAGGAAGTCGTGGAGTTTCTTGTACACGGGCATCTTGCGAATACTCTTCCTAGTCACACCAAACTGCCAAGCTAGTTCATCCGGATACCTGACGGGTGAATGGTTGGATTTCAACAAATGCTCCAAATCACAAAGATGACATTGGGCCATAAGAAAACAGGAAACGGCAATGACTAAATCACCGTAATCATTTCCTGCACCACCACAATCAAAACATTGTCAAAATCACCACCGTCGTCATCTCCACCCTCACCACCACGACCTTCAAATTCACCACTTTTTCAACCACCATCACCTGTAGCACAACTACTGTTGTTCATCACACAAACACTAACCTGGGTAGTTTGGCTAGAAACCCTGCTGAACACAGCAACATGCAGCACTTGTCAAAATGGCAAGCCTGCTAAGTGTTGCGAGATCCATCAGGCCAAAAGTCTCAAGGCCAAACTGCCTCAGAGTCTGTGGTCACCGAATGCAGCAGGCTACAACTGTGGCATTGTTCAATGGGACTAGCTCTCATTGTTTCAGAATTGGCCGTTCATGCACTGGCGCGGCGCGCTGATGGCTCAATGCAGCAAGGTCCCACAGACTTTTCCACCCTGGCAGGGTTAGGGTTAAATTAAAAACAAATGAAACTTGAACAAAGACATTCACTGGACAGGGTGTGATCCTGCAACCTCCGGATTGCCGTTCCGATTCTCTACCAACTGAGCTATCCAGCCCTATGTTGGCAGTTCCCCAGTTTTGCCAATGTCTTTGTTCAAGGGGCGCTAGTCAGAAACCATAAACCTGTATGTGCCATGTAGCCAGGGATCATGTCTCAAAGACAGATTGGGGGGGGGGGGGGGGGTGTGGCAACGGGGGCATTGCCCCCCCCCCCCTAAAAAAACCGAAACCATTTTCTATTTTTTTCAAAGTGACGTCGCAATAAAGGCAGGCACTGCATACACCACCATCTTTTCCTCAAAACAATTTGGTTAGAGAGGTCAGATATTGCATCAGATCGCACTACAGAGCATCTAGAAACCAAACATTTTTCGGTGCCCTTAAGTGGGCCCCAAACCCCTCGCCGTAATTTTTTTGGACCCACTTTTTTGGGAGACCAAACTTTTTTGGGCCCCCCAAAAAATTGTGTTCTGGATTCGCCCTTGATCATGCTTACGTCAGGATGCTAGCAATAATTATTGCAAACCTAGGAAATTCATGACTTACCAAGACATTGGTTTGGGACGTTCCAGTGCCTCACCATCTGCAGTCTTGTCAGCCAGCAACGCATTAATGTAGTGCCCCTTTAAGTAGCTCAACATGTGCTGGGCATGACTGAATAACAGAACAATTTAAAGTCAAGTCTTTAAAATTGTCTCCAAACTATGGACTTTCAGTATTGAACGTCACTAAACGGACCGTACAGATACGGCCAAGGTGTCACAATCGTCCACAGATACTCAAGCCAGAACACAACTGTACTGTTAAAGGGAATATACATGTACAACATTTGCAAACATCGAAAAATAAAACGACCAAGTTTTTACAAAATACTTTACTAGGATGTTGGTAAATGCCAGCCTAAAGCATCCTTTAAAATTATGGCACCTGGTGTCAAGTCATTTTCAAGAAAATTGTATTTTTGTATACATTGCCAACGGTGGTCGGCTGACCACCGTTGGAAAAACCTAAGTATTTTTCAACTACTGCTCCAAATTTACAATTTTTTTTCAGTCCAATTTTGTTTGCTAACTGGTTTTATGTTCATGAACGGGTGCGGGCAGGCTAGACTGGTTCCCTCACTTTACAATTTTCCGGCATCTATAAATATTGATCTATTTCATCTTTAGTGGAGTCAGGGAACCAGACTGCTTGAACATTTTAGTTTTTCTTGGTTTTCCAGCATTTTCGAACACAAAACTTCAAACATGTCAGTGTAACAATATTTGAACTATTATACTAACCCCTCAAATAGTTCATTTCTGAAAAAAAAAACAGCAAAAGCCAATGATGTACATTCCCTTTAAGGGTCAATATCACATCAAGATCCCTCCTTTCTTTCTCGGGCGTTGTACAGAAAATGAAATAATGTACGCGACTTTACCTTCTGTAACCTGTAATGCGAAACGTCAAAGGCAGATCATCTTGTAGAGCAGTCATGAACTTGTCCCAGTCCTCTGCTGGTACAATACCCTGATTCTGAAAAAAAATTAGATTACAGAAAAGAAAAGTGGTAATACATTCTAAATACTACTATAAACTGTGTTTTGTCTGAAAAGGAAATGAAAGAGAGTATAGTGGCGCACTTCGATGTTTACCCAACTTTCCTCGTGTAGTGTTGCCAAACCTCTGTGTTGACAAACCTCAAATTCATGCAGTGAAATACTGGTACTTTTGCCTTATTAATGCTCGCTATTTAACCTCTGTGAACAATTTCGGTGTCATTTAATTTCATCCAAAATTCAAAACGGTCGCATCCGGAAATTGGGCAGAAAATTGGCCGAGTGTTTCCTAACGTGGCGCACTTAAATAAATCTCGGAAAATTCCAAATTAACAATAAAGAATTTCTGTGCCGTTAATACATTCTGATAAACCATTATTTCTCTACTTACATACCCAACCAAAAGTTTGTCAGAAAATTATTTTCTTATTTTTCGGGAAATTTCAAAGGTTCACTTTGCACTTCAAAATAAAATCGGAAAATCACGCCAAAATAAATTCGGGATTTATGTAGATAAACTTGGGATTCATGAACGGGAGTGTTTAGAACTTGATGAAGTTAAACATTTTGCTCTATCTAGGCACTACAGGCAAAAAATCAAATTGTGACACGTTAGGGGCTGCACCACGTTAGGGTACATCAGCAATATCCAATCTTGTAGTCTTGGGACTGTTTCTAAGGTTGAGACACTCATAATTTTCATGCACATGTACATACCTTGTAGTACTTCTCAAAGGCTTCATTTTTCTTCTCTATGGGCCCATAGGAGTACCTGTGATACACCTGTTAAAAAAAATTATAAGAATGAATTGAATCTCACGTTGGAGTATCATACATGCAAGGCCCACTCCTCACAATAACCCAAGCCATCTGCCAACCCTTCAAATTCCAACTGTACATTTTGTTTGATTCTGTTGGAGTGAGGACTGCCCCAACATCCTAGCCATTACTTTGGGATAAAGAACTGAGCACTACAGAATACTATTAGTGTTGTGCACAAGTTATATGCTGAAGTATTTTATACAACAGTTTACTAGTAGTAGTAGCATTAGGTAGTGCTACATGTAGACAAACTGATTACACTTTACAGGGTGAGTCAGAGTGATCTGGAGTTTCTAAACCCAAGTTCACCATTTTATTTTGTGGCAAATTGGTGAAATTGAGAAAAAAAACTGAGTGTTTCATATGAATGGTTATTACAATTACATTGTCTTCCACAGAAATTTTGAATTTTTGAAATTAGTGGCTGTGGTGAGGAGTTATGCCATTTTCATTGAAGTGGCTCATTTCCCAGTCTGCACACAAAATTGGTTTTGCCTTTTTAACCCCAATTCCCCAGCCTAATTTACTAGGAACCGTACCCATTCAGGCAAATTCCAACACCCACATGGGAAATCGTACACACACACTGTTGGACTTAGTTTCTGGAGGTATGCCAAACCATTGATGTAAAAGACCATCAGTTTAGGGGTGCTGTACCTATCCCAACAGATTAAAACAAAACCTACTGTTGAACTGTGATGGGTTGAGCTCGGTTAGGGTTAAATGTGTCAATAACTTCAAGTGAGTCAGTCACCATGACTATGGCTCCCACCATGCCTTGCCCGACGTTTTTTTAACACTGTATACTCAGTGTGTTACCTCCCGAGTGAAAATAACACAAGAAACTGTTCAAAATTACAAAAAATGATATCATTAGAATTAAGATAACCGTATGTGTGAGGGCGCTGTTCATTTTCTGAATAGACAATTGTGATTAAAATTGTGATTTTCTTTTTGCACATTCATACTGTTCTATTTAAATTGAAACATCAGAATTTTTGAAATCGTGATTGCCGTCTGCCATATATTTATTGACCTAAACATGAATTAAGACAAATATTTTGAAAAAATGGAAGTTTTTGGCATTTCAATCAATATTTCTGCACTCCTTTTGTGTATGTTAAATAATCACACTTTACTCTGTATTAAACGTACACATTTCAGTGTCTCAAAAAATTCTTAGTTTTAAAAAGAGAAAATACACCATAACGGTGACCATAATATGCCTCAGTATTTAATTTTATGCGACTTAACTAATTGTTTGGGGTGTCATTTGTAATTAGGAAAATAGTAAGTATTTTTTAAATGAAAGTTTTGCAAAATAATGAAATTTTTGTGCAGCTGCAGGCTGCTGCGCGCACGGGGAGGTAAGAGCAGAGGCACAAATCTAAAAATAAAACCTTCATTCTCATTATCTTATATTATTCTTATGGCAGTGGATATTTTGCCGGAGACGGCAAACCTTCAGTAAACGTTAGTTTGCCGGATATGCACTGAACATGCGCAGTTACTGTTTTTTTGTACTTCAACATTTTCCGGTGACAAATTTTAGTCTGGCTCCATGCCAATATTATCGTTGTATTTTTGTATTAACAAGATGGGAATCAGACCATTTTATAATTTCGGACTTTATTTCCCTTTAAACAAAATCCTCCAGAGCCACAAATCTGAAAAAGAAAAAGTAATAAGGCCTACTCTGCAATAAAATGTTTGAGACATATTAAAATAATAAAAGAAGAATATTCTTATTTATTTGGGGATGAGAAAAAAAACTTCAAAATGTGGTGCGGTCGGAATCGAACGCGAGTCATCCCGCTTACTAGAGCCTTTGCTTAACCATTACACCAAACGTGCTTCACAACTTTTGGTGGGAATTTAATACATCTTATAATTCAGCCCTATTTTAAAGAGTACAGCGCCCTCTGTTGATATGGATTGCCGCCGGCAAACCTTTAGTAATCGTTAGTTTGCCGTCATTACCTCCGGCAAAATATCCACTATCTATTCTTATATCAAAAATGTTTCTTTCAGTTTTTTTTCTACAAAACCACAATCAAAAACAAATGTAGAAAATAGGCCTAGGGTCAGTAGGGAGTAATTAATACTAGACTAGGGGCCTATATACATGATATAGGCCTATTCGAAAAACATATACCTAATTAGCCTCCCTAATTAAAGAGAAGTCTGCTTAGTTTAGGTTGAAAAAGTCATACTAGTGGAATTATAAAAAAACACCCTTGACTCTCGATCTCATTTGAACAAAACTAAAGAGGTGCCCACAATACACAATCGCCGAACACTAGGCCTGGCCTGGCTAGGGTAGGGGGCCTACATCATTTTCTTCTCCATGCTGCTGTCCTTGAGACGTGTCTCCTTGTTCGCCTCCCGATTTCTTTCGCCGTTCTTGCCCATGTTGTCCTTGGCCCTGGCCATGCTGGCCCTTTGGGTTCTTCCCTTTCCGGCGAAAACGTCTTGCCATGAAATCAGTTTAAATTGGATTCTTTGGCAGGCAACAAACCGTCAAATCAGCTGCTCGATCGAGCTTCAAAGTGTGTCACTTGTGTTGTGTACGGTTTCACGTGCACAAGGAGGCGGCCATATTAACTTGACAATTATTATCGCAAGAGGGCGCTACTACATTTGAAGGATTTTACGGCATTTTTTATCCTTAAAACAAATTATTGTTTTGACTAATAATGCAATGACCTTTCTTGTACCACCGACTTTTTTTTATTTAACAAAAAAAAACAATCTTTAACCCCAAAATGGCGAGCTTATGGAGCCATCTTGTAGTACTGCTCCGGGAAATGCAATTAAAATACATCAAATTCGGTACGCTGTGAAATACCTTAATTAGTGGAAGGCTAATGAGTGCCATAATTAATGTTTAAGCTCTTTGCAATCAATATCATTAACAATCAAGGTTTTCGCCCTTGAATGAATATGTTTACCTAAACACGGTAAAAGAAAAATATATATATATAGATTGCTACCATAGTGTGGACAATTTGACATTTTGTGCAGTAGGGCTATACTTTGTGTTTTGTGAAATTCAAGTAGTGTAAAAAACGTCCGAAAACATTGATTTACAAAGAACACAAAAAGACTGGGGAATCTGCTTGGCCTTTTATAAAAATATAGCTTTGTATGGTTTGAAAACGACACTATAGGCCTACCCCAGAAAATATAGGCCCATAGTTTCAAGAAATGAAGTACCTAAATAAGAAAAAATAAAGAAAAAAAACACCTAAAAAAATGGGACCACAGTTACGCTACAGTTTTTTCTAAATGCTATATTGTTAGCTTAGGACTTTTGACCATCTCACAGCCGGGGATAGGGCGAATTCCGCCTCCCCCCCCCCCCCCCCCGATATCGGCCATCATAAAAGGTGACGAAAAATTACTCGGTGCATGCATAGAACAACTTACTATAAACATACCCAAGACATTTCATGACTTTATAGGTTAAAGGGTTTCTGGATGGCGATTTAATTATTCATATGCAGCAAGGGTAATTCTGCTTTGCGTACATAGTGGGGGAAATAAGAAAAAAATCGCTGCGCGGCAAACCATGGTCGGAATTTTATGTTTTTGGTATCCACAGATGCGCAAGACTCGAGGCTAAAAAGTCAGAAAAGCTCGGGTCGGGAATTTCCTTTTTTGCAAGTGTATCGCGGGAAAAGTTGAGGATAGAGGCATAGGCCTATAAGTCAGTATAGGAATAATTTTCCTCTTTTTGAAAATATATAATGCCCTTGTTTCTTAGACTCAGTTTTGGGCACACATAAAATTAGTATTACACGGGGAAATTAAGGGTTATCGTAGTTTTTGAGATTTTTTTAACACTTTGTCTTATTCTTTTCGCTTGTTAATTGAAATTTATATGTTTAATTTGTTGTTCTTGGTGATCTTTACATTTTTCTTTGGGTAATTGTTTTCCGAGTTCAATACACCTTTTTGGTCTGACATCTGACATCATGCCGACGATTAATGTGCCGGATTGTGCCGGAAAATGCTTAAGCACACACCAGACTAATCTATTTATTATGTATTTATTCCATTTCTTTAACCAGTGTATGCCTAAACGGTTAAAAACTAGTTTCCATTGGGGCCCTGCATACATTACAAATTATTAAATAATGTTATGTAAAGTTAAACTCATAAGGAAAAGTAGTTTGATGAAACATACGACGAACATTAATATTTACAAAGACAAGTTCATATGTCTCAGAATTATTAAAGAAATAAAGCTATACACATTGTACATTGTACACACTTTAAATTTCAACTGTATAATGAAATACTGATCACGGGATGGGCGAAAACACCACAAAAACCCTTTTTGGAAAAAAAAACACGGGGAAATTCCCGATCCGGCTCCAAATTAATACCATATGACATAAATACAAGTATTAAATTGTTTGAATTAAGACGAATTTCTCCGAATGCTGTTGTTCGGCAATAGATGAGACGAATTTAATCTGCATTGACGAGTATTCTTGACCAAGTACTTGAAAAGGTTAACCAAGCTTTAATATTGAATGATGATGACTACATTGATTTTGCTAAAAGCGTGTGAAACTCTTCTCGGACGAATTTGAACCTTAGATTTGGTGAATTGATATGATTTTTAAAATAGCTGGGAATACCTATAGCAATTGAAAAAAAAAACCAAAATATTTAAACCATACAGCTAAGTTTAATATTTAGCAATGATAAAAATATTAATTACGGAATAGCCAGACAAGAAATCAACAAGACACAGTCGGATAAGAATAAAAACAACTCTAATTCAAAACAAATCTAATGCTATACTGTTGAACCATATTCCACAAAATTCCACGTGCACAAATTTGTGTCAATTTATGAGAAATAAATTCAAGAGGGTATAGTAACATGACGTTTAAAATGGAATTATGCTTAATGATAATAATTTATGAAAAACATGAATTCAATGTTCCAAAACATATTATAGTATGATAGATGTTGCAATATCCACTGATTTATCGAGAAATGCCTTGCTTCAAGTCCAATGGCTATAGTGAAGAGTATTGCCCATCCCCACAATCGTGCAGGCTGCACTGTTTTCTCAAACTGTATTGGCAACCATGGGCGTCGCCAGGATTTTTTCTAGAGGGGGGCAAATTTTTGTTGGCCAAAAAATGCTTGTATTTCTCAACACATTCTCGATTTATCAGTTTTAGAGGGGGGCAGGGACATTTTGCCCCCCCCCCACTCATTAAATTTAGACCACTTTGTCTTCGCGTCTCTTTTTTTTTTTTTTTTCTTTTTCTTCCTTTTTTTTTTGGCTTTTCCAGGGGGGGGGCAAGTGCCCCCCTTGCCCCCTCCCCCTCGCGACGCCCATGTTGGCAACTGAGCCAATCGTTCAACAGTCCACCTGGGTTGTTATGCACCCTTTGGGTAATTTCGTTGCTTCAAAAGAAAGAAATGCATATAAAGCATCTCGATGTACAGTTTGGCGGATAGTTTGATTAAAGAGAAACATAAATCGTGCAAATTTTAATTGCAAGGGATAACATTCCTGGTGCTCACAAAAACAGTTTTGATTTTAAGATTTATTTTCATTTACAAACGTAATTTTGTGCTCTGAACTCTTCTCAGACCTGTCACTAAATTGTTGGCCATCAGCGCAGTTTTTGTTTCGAGATTTAAACTTTCACTCTCTTGAATACAAGACACAGAAATATCTCAGACAGTGAGATTTTGGCACCCCAACACTTCAAAGCGCATACTGCAGTGGCCCTTCCAGTCGGTTGGCAGGATGCGCAGGAATCGAGTGCGCAGGACCGTTCCAAATCGAGCTGTCACCTGATGATCGTAGCTTTGGTCGATGCTATTACCAGTGAACTGTAAAAAAAAAAAAAAGAATTTCATTTCAACACCAATTCCGATTTGAATGAAATCGCCACATTGGCAGACTTGTATACGAATCACCAAACATCGAGCCCGAGTCCTAGTCAACTCTCCCGAGTCCGAGTCCCGAGTCCCGAGTCATGCAGGTCGAGTCCGAGGTACGAGTCACAAAGGTGAGTCCAAGTCCGAATTCGAGTCACGAATCACCTTTAAACCTCGCACACAGTGTTAATGTCTTCATTTTTTCATAGCTGCCTGATGCTTTATTGAACTGGAAATGCGTTTGTTTCTTGTGCACCGCACTGACAGTATTTGGCATAATAGTGCCAACCAAGTTGGTTTGAGCACACATGGATGCACATACCTAATTCTGCCGGTAGAAATAATAATAGGTATAATCCATGTCAATGCATTGTACGAATAATTCAGCAGCAACCTAGCCAAACTGAAACCCAACAGGCCTCGTATAGACTTTGTCACTGGCACTGGTATGCCATCCGGAGAAAAGCACAGCCCTATGAGTGTACCATGATTAGCTGGAAGAACATAAAGTCCGTTTTTGTGCGACTGTGTGGTTATTTTTCTCCTAAACCCTTTTCTTTTCGCGAGTGGCGTTTACGCTTGGTTTTGCTCCCCCCCCCCAAAAAAAGCCATACCTCCTCGGACATGCTATCAGCACCAGTCACGTGATCCCATGACTGACCGTCACGGCTGTGTGTCACTCTGTAACGCGTGACTCGCTGGTGATTAGTGTTATGAATGTCACCACCTCGGGCTTGGGTGACCAGTCCTGTGACGTAGACCTCTGAGTTGAACTCCACCTGAATCCAGGGATGATCTGGGTCAGTTTCTCTGTGTCTGTCATAGCACCACGCAGATGCATAGGCTGTTCAACAATAATATAAAATGAAATGTCGTTTGGGCTGCTAATTCACCTGAAAACGAATGTCTTTTTTCCCCAATCAGTTTGTACATTATTTTGAAAGCAATGGAAACGATGGAGGGACGACCTCCCAGCACGGTGGGTCTGCCGCCAAATTTGTGCCCCCTTCCCTTTCAAATTGGTTTTGTGACGCCCCTGTCCATTTTGCCAACCCACCCCTGCCCTGCCCGTGATGATGACTGTTGCCATTATGCATTATACTTGGACTTCAGAGAATCGCACCAGGAACGAACAGAAATAACTCCATGACGGTGCTTTTATTTGATCTTTACGAATATTGGTGCATTTTATTTTTGACACAGGAAATTCAATAGTACCCTGGGTATCGAGGCGCGCCTTGGCAGGTCCATGGTTCAGCTTATTCTGATAATAAGACGAAGCAGTAATCTGTTCGTCTTTGATGCGCCCATCCTGCATGCCGAGAGGTTCCTCATCAGAGCAAACTATGAAGCGAAGGATTCAGGAAGTTTATACATGGTTTGATCAAGTTATGAATAGCCATGAATACAGGCAATTGACTTTGTAAAATATGAGTTTAACAAGCATAAGATGTTGATGGCTGAGTGAGTTTTTCTCATGCAGATTTGTTTTAAAGTGTACAACAGGTGCCTTTTTTCACCTCCTATCTTTAATCCAAATTGAAGGAACACCAGGCAAGTAAGATGTTTTCTTAGTAAAACATAGTTTACCAGAAATATCTTGTGTTCCGCACTTTCCAAGCGCCATAAATGCTACATGTATGTGGAAGGAACGAGGATAAAAAGAGGTTATTATTTCAAGGTTTCTTT